CCCCTTGCGTGTTAAAGCGATCAGGCCGACATTATATCCCCTATCGTAGCAATTAATCTGCCACCAGAGGTCCCTACTCTCTGGCGGCCCGCGGTCTTGTCTTAACTGTCCGATAACAGTATTTCTACAAAACTTCTAATTCGCCTAGTATTTGGGTCGACGCTTCATGTGTATAAATTTGACACACACATGATCATTTAATATTTTCTTACTTGTTAAAAAAACGATGTCACAGCAATTAGGTTGGAAATTCAACCTGAATACACCAGCAAAGTTTATGTTATAAGCCTCACACATTTTTTTAATAGAGCGAATAATTCTTGCTTTGATCCAAAGCGTGTGTACCCAACGAGACAGCATGCTCGAATGGCCAGTTTAACATCATCATTTTAAATAAAGAACGTGTAAGCTCCAACAATGATTGGTCAGTTGAGCGACCATAGACTAATCGGCTTATACTTTCCATCGAGCAAGACAAGGGGCTTTGATCATCTTTCCAGTTGAGTAATTTTTTAATTTTACAAAGGACGTCGAGGCTATTTCGCATCATAATAAGTTACTAATTTTTACTCTCACCCAAGTGGTAAGAGCTTATATTAGCTGTAGGTTAGTATTTTTTACAAGGACAGTGGCAAACAAGTACGTACAGTTTACAAACATTTCCGTTATTCCAACCAAAATATTGTGAATGTTAAAAATGAAAAGTTTGACTGGCCTGTGGGTCTAGAGACTCTAGTAGTCCTTAATGCTAAGTTAGAGGTCGTGAGTTCAATTCCCATCTAGGACAAATAGTTTTTGAAATGAAACTTCTTTAGCACCGTTGTGATTTGAAAATTCGGTGTAACGAAAAGCGACGTTAAACAGAAACAAATATATTCAGTCCGTGTGGTGACGGATTAAGAATACGGAATGTCACCACCCCTATTCATCATTCATCGTGGGTGTGGTAAGAGCCGACTAGGGGAGCAAACTACACAAGACACCAGCACTGCAAAGAAACCCAACCCGTCTGGACAGCGTGGTGTAGTAGACCAAAACCTCCTTTCTAAGGAGAGGCCTATGTCCAGCAGTGGACTGTTATAGGCTGTTGATGATGATGAAATATATTCATAAATAGGATTTAGCCTGCGAGAGAATGAGATAGATTACAAGTATAGAGTGTTTTCTGTAATCTTCGTCTCCTCTATGTTATCACGTGTCTTTGCGCCTGGTTCAAGAAAGCCTTCAGAAAATGTATCATAAACAACGTGGTCTATTATTCACGTGTTTTATTTTTTAATATAATATTTTGACCGTTTGAATATTTTTATCTTTTTATTTCATAAAATATTTTTCTCTGAAGTTTCAATTCCGACGTGTGGGAATTTGCACACACACACACACACACTTTTTTGTTTTTTTAAAGACAACTCCCGTACTAGGAATATTGCCTGTGTCGCATGGGACTTTATGGACATACCTGAAACGAATACAAAGAACACCCAGACTTAAAAGAACAATTTTTTGATCACACAAAGTGTTATCCCATGTGGAGATCAAACCCACAACACTCAGCGCAGTATGAAGCGACGAGGTGACCGCTTAAACCATAACGCCATCCGTGCAGTCTCTCTCACTACCATTTGTTCTGTGTCTGGGTGTAATTTATCGATAACATGTATGTGTTTAGAAATATATATTAAGTATGTTTATCAGCATTTTGGTTACCATGGTACAGGCCTTGTTTAGTTTGGGATCTGACGGCCGTGTGTGAGATGTGAGATTATTATTATTAAATACGACAAATAAAGACTTATAATTTCATTTTGGGGAATCCAATCTCAGGGAATCCATTAACTAGATCCATCGACATCGACAGCCTTTAACAGTCTACTGCTGGACATAGGCCTCTCCTTAGAAAGGAGGTTTTGGCCTGCTATACCACGCTGGCCAGACGGGATGGTATAGGGTTTGTGTCAAGTTTTGCTTCTTTTTTGCAGTGCTGGTGTCCTGCGTTGTTTTGCGCCCTCAGTCGGCTCTTACGACACCCACGGGATGAATTGGGGTAGTGACATCCGTATTCTTAATCCGTCATTACACGGCCAGATCCATGGTGGATTCAAAACTATATTTAAATAAATAAAGCGTATATTTCAAAATATAATTTATTCATAACATTTATAGTAAAATACATCAATATAGTTTTTCTTAGAATTATTTATTTATTGGCGAAAATACATCTCTTAAAATAAAATATAAACAGTATTGCCTACAAGATTCAATTCATTATTCATTTTGCAAAATTATCATATTATTCCAGCTGTCTCTTGCCACGCTACGCTATGGCACGTTATAGTTACATCCATGATAAATGAAGAACACGACTGAACACGACTCAAAAAAAAATATAATAACAAACTTTGAAGTGGGTTGTGTAATTTGTCAAAATTTGAACTCAATCGGTACAGATTTTTTTTGAGTTTTGAGGCGAACATCAACCAACTTAACATATTTTTTAAGTATAAAGACAGATTGTAATTTATGTAAAAATATTACATGTATTAATTCAATATAACTATTTTTATTTCTTTTTTCTTTCTATCATTTTTTTTATGGTAATTTTTTATTACAGTTTATCTTTTGAATGATAAATCTTTTGAGCACCAGTGGAATTTACCTCAGCAGTATGGAAGATTTATATTCAAACAGAATATCGATGTTGACGTTTTTGACGATTTTTCCTGTTGTAATCAAAAATTTTCAAGTTTTCACTTCTATCGGTACTTCCGGAGTACCACTGTTTTTTTTTATTCCTTCTTTCTTTCTGTCTAAATATTATTTTTCATGGAATAAGCGGCCAAACGAGCAGATATTACACATGATCGTAAGTGGCTACCGCCGCCCATGTACTCCTAAAACCCAAGAGTCAATAGTACCTTGTCGCCGTTTGAGTCCTCCTCCAGAATCAGGACGAGGAGAGGTTTAGCGCCGGCAACCTCACTCATCAGAATTTAACTCAGTAATATGGAACATTTACGTTGAAACAGAATATCGATGTTGACGTCAAGGTTAAATTAGAATCATTAAACTCGCATGGTATGAATTTCTATCTTAACACGCTTTTATTAGCTTGGTATGTATGTATCTATTTTTTTTTTAATGAATTCTTTAGACAACTCCCGCGTTAGGAATATATCCTGTGTCGCGGGGGAATTTACAAACATATATGAAACGGACACAAAGAACACCCAGACTCAGAACGACAATTTGTGGAACACACAAAGTGTCGTCCTTGGGTTTGACCGGGTAAAATTTTATAGCGTTTTTCTAAGGGAAAAAATAGCTTAAGTTACTGCTTATATAGACAGCTACCTGGTGGTAAAATATTATCTAAATCGGTCCAGCCGTCCAGACAGACAGACAAAAACATTCAAAATGGTTTTTAGGCATTGGGCAAAAAACCTATTATTTTGACATTTCAAACAGACAATTCAATTTTATTTATTTGTATATATTAATTATGTAAATTATTATAAAGTACACATCAGACTATCCCAAATCGGATTAAACAATATCCGCGTGAAGGTCGTCTGTAAGAGACCGCCGTGAGCGATAAGACCGCCTATTGTAATACAACGTGTAGATGTCCACCCATGTCTGTACAATATATACTGTAGCGGTGTACAATAAAGATGTATAAATAAATAAATAGATCATAAAGTATGAAAGGTTGATGTCATGCAGGTAGCCGGACATAAAAGAAAAATGCCAACGCAAAAGAACGTAACAGAATGTCGAATGTTAAAGGAGATTAGACAAAGAATAATACTACAATGTTTTTTTTTCTTTCTTTTTTGTGTTAAAGGGGGCAGACGAGCAGACGGGTCACCTGATGGAAAGTGACCATGGCCGTCCATGAACGTCTGCAACTCAGGAGTCACAAACGCGTTTCCGGCCTTTTAGGAAAGAGTACGCTCTTTTCTTGAAGGTTTGTAGGTCGTATCGGTCCGGAAATACCGCAGACGATAACCCGTTCCACAGATTGGTTGTGCGGCAAAAAGTGTCTCGAAGTGCTCGAAAAGCGCACAGCAGTGGAGCGCCAACTATCCAGGTAATAAGGATGATAATTTTGCCGTGTGGAACGATGGCGGAAATTTGCGGCTGGTATTAGTCCGAACAATTCCTCGGAGCACTCTCCATGATATATGTGATTTCACCACAATATTCCAGGTATTCTCAAATATTTTTCTTAGTAAGTAATACAAACTGTCAAGACAATATTATGGAAGACTGCTGCCTCAGTCTAGATAGAAATCTGTGTTATATACGTCACCAGAAGACCAATTCCCGTAATAAAACTTCGGTCTCAATTCAGTTCCTATCAACTTTCGAACTCACAACTGTCATTTAAGGTACTTTCGCAGTAAAGTATTAAAGTATTACTAAGACTAGCAGAACGATCCAATTTTCGGTTAAAATACGATATAATTACATTACAGTCAACGTTGAATGTTTATTAATTTACTACGAGAATACCTTTTATGACAGTTGTGAGATCGAAAATTGATCGGAACTGAATTAAGATCGAAGTTTTATTACGGGAATTGGCCTTCAGGAGTTAGTTGTAGACTACCGATATTTATACCGATGCCAATGGCCACTCGATGGCATCTCAATAGCGTGTCAGTAGTATAACAGTGGCTTGGCGTGAACATGAAATAGCAGAATTGAGGCCCAGGTCTCCGCTCCGTGTTACAGTTACTGGATAATACTTACGTACTAAAGTTAAAGCAATACAATAATAATATTGTGGAGAGTGTATTACACAACATACAACTTTGTGTGTGTGTGTATTGTCATCACTCCCGCTGAAAATAAATGCAGAAAAAAGAAAAGATGATGTTTTCTCAAAAATACGTACCCATTCTTAAACCACCGTAGCAAATAATTGCCGTGTTAAAATATACACAAGCTTCATGGTATTGTATGCATATTTTTTTCATATTATTAACATTTAACGATTAACAATCGTAATTCATCATTTTATTCGTACATAAACCACAAATGGTGTTCAGATACACATGGGGCACTAATATTACTAGTTCATGGTGATTGTAGTAAACTTGAAGGTCTGTTGTTCTTGATATAATCTTCACTGTGTTGCGGATTTGGGAGATCCTAGAAAAAAAATACATGAAATAATTAACAATAATAATATTTCGGGCATCTGACACACAACGCCATCTAGTTTCAAACTAAGCAGAGCTTGTACTATGAAAGCTAGATTTACTGATAGAATACTTAAATACTTTTTTTTATTACACACATATCATACATAGAAAACACCCAATCTCTGAAACAATGCAGATAATTCAAAGATTTCGTCCGACCTAGGAATTGAACCCGAGTCATGAGCACAGCAGTCGCATACGCTACCACTGCACCACCAAGGCTGTCGCTCGCTAGGCAATAACTTTAAAAAGTAACATCTACTTCAGAAAATAGCCTCCACCATATTAAATATTTTTGCAGTTTGTTGCCTTAGTAGGCTCTTACGACACCGACGGTACGGTGAAACTTACAGTGAAATTGCCAAAAATCCGTTCTTAGTAAGTAATTACAACATAAATGGCATCATCTGCCAAAATTTTAAGTTTGTAGCCCCAGCGGTTTAGGCTCTTCGTTTATGAAGCCAGGTTTGACCGGAGTGATACCACAGCCTCACAGAAAACCAGTGTTACGTAACCCTTTCGTTGCTTTTACCAAGTGATTGAGAAGCCCTGGACTTATCCGTGTGGTGACGGATAAAGAATACAGAGTGTCACCACCCCTATTCATCCTGTGGAGGTCGTAAGAGCCGACCAAACTACGCAGGACAACAGTACTGCAGAGAGAAAGAAACCTTGACACAAAATCTATACCAACCTGTCTGGCCAGCGTGGTATAGTAGGCCAATACCTCCTTTCTAAGGAGAGGCCTATGTCCAACTATGGACTATTAAAGGCTGATAATAAAGAATAAGTTTAAACGGGAAATATACCGGTTATTAAATAAATGAGTTATCAGGTTGCAAATATAACAAAAAAAAACAACTGAATTGAGAACCTGGCTTTTTTGAAGTCGGTTAAAAAAAGGGAAAACATTTAAATTGCTTTTTAGTTAGATTGAAAATGATTGATGAGATTTTCCCAACTCGGCGCCTAAAGAGGAGGTAAATTTGTACAAAGTATCGAAAATAACACTCCGGCCAGAGGTCTGAGAGGGTCGAGGGTGCGGAGGGGCGGTCGTCCCTTCAAATAACTGCATTATCATCATTGTACAATATTTATTTTCCGTATTTTGAATTCTAGATATATCTGTAACTCTGTATTTATTTTATCTTGGAAGATCAACAGTTTTACAAATTGGTTTAATATTGTATAGGTTACATTCAGCCATTAACAAGTCTTCACGAATAGAAAACAGTTTAGAATAATTGCGAGGATTTAGTTTTTAAAAGCGATTATTAGTTTAAGAAAGAATCAAGTACAACACTTAATGAAATTAGTATTCTGAAAAGAAGTCAAAACTGAGTGCCCGTCTCACCACCTGCTGACTAGTCACAAATAGGTCAAGTTCTGATTGTTTACATTATTTGTTAATCGTATTGCTCGCTCGCCACAGAAACTTATCCTGGCGATAGTTCGCGGAGATCAATGGTAGGTGCATGGGAGAGTGATGTCTTGCCACTTTAGTGGGAACTTTAAAGGTGATATTCGAAAGTATATCAGGGCAATCTACACGTCCCGATATTTATTTTTTAGTTATTTAATTATTTTTGCACAAACAACAATTCATTGTACAACGGCGGACTTAATGCCACAGGCGTTTTCTCCCAGTCTACCTTTGGGTGACGGGGAAATGTCTGAGTAGGTGCACTAGAAATTAAGTTTTATATGTAACGAGATAATAATAATTAAGTATATGGACAGAACCAGTGTGACGGATACATACATACTGAGATACACATACATATATACTTGCTGAGTTACATACATATATTTATACATTTAATCTTTTATGTAAAATTCTCGTGTCACAATGTTTGTGTGCACATCGGGTAGGTCTGAGAATCGGCCAACATCTATTTTTCATACCTCTAAATGGTAAGGGTGACCCATCCCTAATTTTTTTTTGTTTTGCAATACAACGTTTGCCGGGTCAGCTAGTACACTATATAAAACTTTAGGGATGTGATGAATCTGCTTGAGCGTCGAGTATTCCAGCTCGGACTTTCGTCTTAAATGAGATGCGGCTCGGCTCGGCTTATCCGCAATAAAAACATATATTTCACGCCGTATGCTGAGAGGGAGAATGTAAAACCTGGCGCATAACTTCAAATAGTTCTTTGATTCGTATTTATAATTAAACCGATAGCATAGATCTAAACAAATAAATAAAATTGGAGTGTCTGTTTGTAATATTAAAATAACCGCTTTTTACTAATTGCATATGTATGTTTACACGGTACATATGCCAAAATAACATTTTTACAATTTTTGTCTGTTTGTCTGTCTGTCTGTCTGTTTGTTCCGGGTAATCTCTGGAAAGGCTAGACCGATTTCGACGGGACTTTCACTGGCAGATAGCTGATGACATAAGGAGTAACTTAGGCTACTTTTTTTAGACTAGCTTCGCCCCGCGGCGTTGCCCGCGGTTATAACAACAAACGCGGGTAACACCGCAGGTCTCAGCTGGTATTTTATAAATTGCATATTAATTTTCTCAATCCGAGATACATATGTATTTATCATTACGTGGGTGCCAAACCTGACTAACATATTCCAATATACTACGAACGTACGTGCAATAAAGAATATTCACAGTTTTGGCTTCCTTAAATTCGATTGACATCCGAATAACGACGCCCAATGTCTGAGAAGCCCATGATATTATACTGTCTATGTGCCCCTTTTTGTTTCCGTGCGGAAATCCCCTCGGATACCACCACTAAAGGTGGTCATATCGGTGGCATGTCGGACACGAACTGACTAAAACCGCACGCCGTCTCGGGTACTAACGGGGAATGTCTATGTGCCCCTGAATAATATAGAGCCTTTTGAGTTTCTGTCCCCTTAGAACGTAGTCAGAGAGTGATAACAGTAAAAGCGCTATAAATTGTTACCTCCGTCGAAAGTCCTACGCGTTCTTGAATGGTCGCCATTTGGACTGGTCTCACTGTTAAGCCAGAGGTTCGATTCCCACCCAGGACAAATAATTGTACGATGAGCCCAGTCATTTGTTCTGTGTCTGGTTTTAATTTATCTATAATGTGTATGTTTTTCATCAACATCATCAACAGCCTTTAACAGTCCACTACTGGACATAAGCCTCTCCTTAGAAAGCAGGTTTTGGCCTACTATACCACGCTGGCCAGGCGGGTTGGTATAGGGTTTGTGTCAAGTTTTCCTTCTCTTAGCAGTTTTGTTGTCCTGCATAGTTTGCTGCCTTACGACACCCACGAGATGAATGGGGGTGGTGACAATCCGTATTCTTAATCCGTCGCCACACGGACAACTGTATGTTTTTAGAAATATTTAAATATGCTTTTTAGCAGTCTGGTTACCATAGCACAGATTCAGTTTAGTTTGAAATCAGACTGGCTTGTGTGAGATGTTTTATTAATATGAACTTACCAGAAATTGTTGCCAGCATGACTCACATCCACGGCTGCCTTCGAATCCTCATGCAACGTGATCATGACGTAGTAGCCTCCAGTGTAAACCCTGATGCTGTCGTTGTGACGGATCACTGCAAATCTGGAAAGTAATTCATCCAGTCATCAACATTTTCTGTTGGTAGTACAGCCTTACTACTAGTACTTGGTATGCCATCAGGTAACCTGACATTTATATTATCAAAACGTACCTCGGCACTTCGCTGCAGTCAGCTAAAATCACAGTTTCGAAGCATGTAGATTCCATCAAATTCTCCGTGCCTCCAAAGAGCATATTAATAGAATTCTTGTGAAGACGACATTCGCCTGAAATTTACAAAAGAATACATCAAAATCCTTTTAAAAAAAAATTGAACCGACAAACAATACTGACCAAGAGCACTAAAAACCTAGCAGTAGTCGTAGTTGATTTGCTGTCATTTTTCAAGAGTTCCGTTGTCTTTCTAAAAAACTAAACTAAACTAAATGGGACCATTTCAGTATAAACCCCTTTCGAACAAAAAAGAATTTTGAAAATCCGTCTATATATGACAGAGTTATGCCTAAACATACCTAAAAAATAAAAAATATAAACGTCCGAATTGATAACCCCCCTCTTTTTTTAAGTCGGTTAAAATAAATTTGAACAAGTTATGTAGAAATTTAATAGGAAGGAAAGAGAGAAAAGATCAAATAAAACATATCACACAATAAGTACAGACTACATAACAGCTACCTACTACATACCTTTTAAGTTAACCTGTGTTAGCAATACAAAGGTGATATCTGATACTTAAGTCGTGACCACGTCAATTTTCGTACGTACATATCAATACAAATAAATAAAATTTAAGTGTCTGTTTGTAATGTCAAGATAACAGGTATTTTTCATGCTCACAGTTATTTGCACGATATCTATACCTGAAAACACTGCCGACAAACTGTTTTTACAGTTTGGCAGACTTTAAGCATGAAAATATTGTATTATAAATGTTTAATAAAGAGAAAAAAAAATTTTTTTGTCTGTCTGTTTGTTCTGGCTGAACTGATTTTGATCATATTTACTACTAGGTAATTTGGTCTATTATTCCACTCAGACAACCAAGGTACTACCTAGTACATAATTAAATAAGCCGTGTGGTGTCCTGGAACACCCGATAGGAATGAAGTTCCTTAGGTTAGGTTAGGTTCCTTAGTTTTTGTTTTAAATAAACTACAGTTCTTTAAAGAAAACAGCTATTTTTTTATAAAAAAAATTATTAACTCAAAAACTATTGATTGTAGAGAAACAAGACTGGTATCATTTTCTTCCTCATTAAATTCTATAAAAATCATACGCATCATGTATGGTTCTACGATGCGTTGTTCTCGAGTTATTAAATATAAATTACTTCCTCTCTTTCTCGCTCTGCAGGCGGCGAATGCAGAGCGAGAGAGATAGCGACTAACGCTTTTTCGTAACGTGCACTTTTTCTCCTGAAATTCCTCTCGCCACATGATCCCATAAAAAACTTCATTCAAATATCCTTAAACTAACTAAAACCAAACTGTTATATCTTACGGTATAGTCCCAGGGTCTGCATAGTCAAAATCTGCATGTCAGTCCAGCTGTCCAACAGCCACGCAAAGTTGTCAGACTTGAACTGCATCTCAGCTCCCTTGTTGACGCTGACAGAAGCAAGTCCATTCATTTCCTAGAAATATTGTCTTTTCAGAAGATACGACAAACTTTCGACCGTATACAGGTTTAACTGTGAAGTTTGGTTGCAGGTGTCCATGGGCGGTGGTAGTGACTTACCATCAGGTGACTCAGCTGCTTGTTTGCCCCCCTATAGCATAAAAAAAGTGTAAAAAGTGTGAGTGTTAGCTCCGACGCACTACTGGAGTTTACTGCTTAAGAACGCACACCCTGTGTGCGTCAGTTGCACACAAATTTAGTGATCATCGCCATCTATGTAAATGTTAGTAAAATAATTAAAAGTCACGTGTTAATTGCCATTTATTTTGGGGTTTATTCCGTTTTAAAACAATTTCAATTTTGTAGTGGACTACTCACTAAACTAAAACATTGCATTTATAGAACTAATAACAAACTTATTATAGAATTAAAATATTAATAAATATGTGATCCGCCATCTATAAATTACACTTAGAACTAAAAAAAAGTGTCGAGGTTATTCGATCACTACATTTTACTCGTCATATTTTTTTTATACCGGGCGCCTCATATGAAGGTAATAGGTAGGTTTATATTTCGGCTTAAGTATATTTATCAGCAGGCTTCGTGTAGTTTGGGATCGGATTTCAGTACGTAACATATGTCAAATTGTTCTTATTTTCTAGCCAATATTAGCTTTTGTTATGTAAAAATTAGCCTATGTATCATCATCATCATCATCAACAGCCTTTAGTAGTCCACTGCTGAGCATAAGATTCTCCTAAGAAAGGAGGTTTTGACCTACTATAGCACGCTGGCCATACGTGTTGGTTAGGTTAGGTTACTCGCTGATAATGTAGCGTTCCATTGGTGAAATAATTTTAAAATTAATTTAATGATTTAGGCGTGAAGCCCACAAACAAACAAACTTACAATATAAATATGAAAGTAAGGATGTATACAATTTGGGAATATATAATATAAATATTAACTACTATTCTTGCCTTGATAACTGCAGTCATATTGAGGGGCTCCTTACTGTAACTCCTCACGAGCTGGCCTAATGCTGTCTGCGTCACTAGTTCAGACTCTAATATTCCCGTTTCAGAAAGCTAAAACAAAAACATTAATAGGTTAAGTTGTTAGGGTTCCGTACCTCAAAAGGTAAAAAAGGAACCCTTATAAGATCACTTTCTTGTCCGTCTGTCCGTTTGTCACTACCGATTTTCTCAGGGACGGGTAGACCTAGCAAGTTGAAATTTATACCAGATACTGAGGTCTATTGTCCCTATTAGGTGTATAAAAATCAACGTCCTGAATCAACACTATAAAAAAATCAGAATTTTCTCTTTACTTGTGCTGTAAGACCTTGCTTTTAACCAAAATTGACAATTCTAGTTCAACCGGAAGTACCCTATAGGTTTTCGGTCGAAAACCTATATGGTAGTTCCCGTTGACCTAGAATCACGAAATTTGGGAAAAAGAAACGTCTTACAGCATAAATAAAGGAAATAATTCCAAAAAATAAAAAAGTTGAAAATTAAGATAAATTTTGGTACTTACAAATTTTCGCGAAAATCTAAAATAAAATCTAAAGAAAATCTAATAAAGAAAATCTAAATCTAAAATCTGGGTAGGTACGGAACCCTCGGCGCACGAGTTCGACTCGTACCTGACCGGTTTTTTTTTAGGACAATTTACTATTTATATGTTCTCTGATGATCCTGTACAAGACCGGTATTCTTTCTTGTTAAGATCAGGCTAAGTATACCTGGTGAGCCAACGGGTGTAGAACGTTCATTTACTTAATAGTTCAACTCGTGGTTGTTAGATGGCGTTGAACTACATATTGTTGTAAACAAGGTCTTTTTCTACCTAGAAGCTGTTTGCAGATCCCTCCTATTTTAGGCGTAGAATGGTTGTGGCACAGTCTATGGTTTTAGGTGTACATGAAATGAGAGAGATGTGATGGAGGAAGGCCCGAAGGGGTTGTTCTACCGTGGCCCTGTGTCTTGGCCGATACTCACATTACTCCCAAAGATCTTAACTTCGAAGAACCTCTCCAACTTTCCGTACAAGTTCTTAGGCACTCCTTTGTATTTCAAAGTCAGTTCGCTGGCTGGTCCTGAATGGAAGCAATCAGTTTTGTTGCCAGAGTACGTCAGGGTTAGATGGCCTTCATAAGAAGCTGGATGGATACCTATATCTTGGTCTGATGCTACATGGCTGATGTCTTGTTCTCGAAGGCAAATCTGGAGAATGGAAAAAATTGTAGTTTATTTTAAAAATAATAAAACAACGACAGTTAAAAATGAAAAAACAAAAAAGAGCTCCTGGTTTCGTCATATGACATTTCCTAAGCCGAATCTGTTGGAAAAAGCAGATTATTATAGGTATAAAGATTGTTTGTCAGAGACCACCGCCTTGAACGATAAGACCGCCGATTGTTACGACTACATTTTTATATTTTTTATTATTGACTGCCTTGGTGGTGTAGTGGTAGCGTATGCGACTGCTGTGCTGAGGTCTCGGGTTCGATTCCCAGGTCGGACCAAATGTTTGTGTGATCTGCAAATGTTTGTTTCGAAGTATAGTATGTATGTATTAACAAAATAAAAGTATATAAGTATTCTATCAGTCAATCTACCTTTCATAGTACAAGCTCGGCTTAGTTTTAAACTAGATGGCGTTGTGTGTCAGATTCCCGGAGTTTTTAAAGTGTACAATGAAGAGATAAATAAATATTATACGCGCTTCAACTCAAGGGATTCAATACTGAAGTGTTCCACTGTCCTCCTATCATCAGACCAGTTCCAAGGTGACAAATTAGAGTACAAATAATCATCTACATATAATCCAGTTCAAGTACAGTTCAATAAAAGTACAGTTTTTGTTTAATTTCCATGCGTCAACTAGAAGTAGATTAAAATTAAATTCCAATTCTAATCTAATTAACTGCCTTAGTTTGTTACAAGTGATGATATCGAAAGTGTATTAATATAATATCTGGTTACCTCTGGAAAAAAAGAGGTAAAAAACACTTCATACTTTTAAAGGTACTCCCTTATTAGTCCTTATTGTTCTGTGTCTGGGTGTAATTTATCTAAGATATGCGCGTATTTAAAAATATATAAGTATGTCTATCAGCAGTCTTGTTACCATAGTACAGGCTCTGCCTAGTTTGGGATCAGACGGCCGTGTGTGAGTTGAGAAATTTAAAAATAATTTATTTTTTTTGTAATTTTCATGACATATACTTTTAATTCATCATTATCATCATCAATAGCCTTAACAGTCCACTGCTGGACATAGGCCTCTCCTTATAAAGGAGGTTTTGGCCTACTATTCCATGTTAGCCAGACGGGTTAGTATCAAATTTCCAATCTCTTTGCAGTGCTGTTATCCTGCAGACTTTTCTCCCTTAGTCGCCTCTTGCGACCCTCACGGGATGAATAGGGGTGGTGACAATCTGTATTCTTGATCCGTCACCACACGGACAACTTTTATTTCTTATTATATATTTGTTTTGATAATGTGTGTGTTTGTATATACTCCAGGAGATAGTACTTCCTTTAACAACATCAGAATAGGCTATTTGACTCAATTTGAAAACTTGGTTAATTATATACTTTAATATCTATTTTATCCCAAAAATTTATATTTTAAAGAAAAAGAAATATTTACATTACGTATTTTGTATTTTTTTTAAACAATTTAAATTTCACTTGAAAACGCTTAATAGTGTCATGGCGTCTTGAATAACACACACACACACACACAGTCTGCGAAACAAAACTGTTTACATCTGTGTCCAGTGTCAACTGAAACTGTATTAAGGTGAGAAAATATGCTAAAAACGAAAAGCAATAAGTAGTAACCTGCTCTGTTGTATGAAAACGTCAACAACAACAATGATGTTTTGCGTGTGTTGGTGTTCGCTGTCACGTGACTTAATGCCTATTTTGTTCGATTTTTTTTTTAAATATTAATAATCTTTAACTTTTATGAGAAATATACTGTTTTGTTCTTATCTTCATTTATAATTTGAAACTATAAACCAAGCAATTTGTTATTAGTGGACACAAGCCTCACTCCGACAAGAAATGTTTGAAAGATCCCGAGGTAAATATATATATATATTATATTATTATGCACTATACTACAAATACAACCTAAAGCTACTCTTATCTATGGGGTATTATATATCTATGATAGAAATTATGGCACAACTTACCGTCCATTCATTCCTCGTGGTATTGTCGGTATTGGGCTGCAGTCCGTGTACAGTCAGCTGCAGATTCATGTTTCCACCAGCATTCTCCACTGTTGTAACTGCTTCCATTTCGAAGAATACGCGCTTTGGAGATTGACTGCAAAAATTGTATTCATTTTAATATGCTTACCAAACAGGGTGGTACAGGGTTTGTTTCAAGTTTTACTTCTCGTTGTCTTGTTGTGTTTATTCTCTTAGTCGGCTTTTACGACACCCACGGGATGGATAGGAGTAATCATCACATGGAATAGTGCTTTATAAAAAACACTAAACACAGTCTTTACATAAGACTGTTCATATTTACGCTCAGGTCAAATGCTTTTTGGCACATGGCGTAACTTCCTGGACACCCCAGGAATATTCCCTTTCAGTTTGCTGCCATAATTCAAACCCTAAACAGTGGGAACCCATGGCTAACAGATTTAACTACAATAAGCCTCCTAAAAGTAGGTAATCACCGGTAGGACTTTGAATGTAAGAAGAAATTGTGAGGTGATTTTAGTGAAAAAACAGCTTATTACCTCGGTTTCTTTTTTGCTTTAATCACCTTACATTTGGCCCTTTGATAGAAAACTAAGCGGAGTCTGTACTATGATAACTAGACTGCTAATAAACATTCTTGTATATTACTAGACGTTTTCGATCATAACTATAACAGAAAATAAGTGAAAGACATCCTCCATAGTGACTTAGGTTTGCATTAGCATTCAGATCTGCATCACATTAGCTGCTTACTTACTTTGTTACTTATTGTTATGTTACTTACAGTATTATGAATCAGTGTTTTTCTTTGTGGACATATGAGTTACGTTACGATCCAGTTCTAAACGATTTTTTTATGATTTATGTTTAAATTGATTGTAATTTGTGTGCGTGTTGTGCTATCCGTGTGATGACTGATTAATACAGACTGTAACCAACCCTATTCATCCTGTGGGTGTCGTAAGAGTCGACTAAGGGAGCAAACTACGCACGACAACAGCACTACAGAGAGAAGGAAAACTTGACACAAACCCTATACCAACCCGTCTGGCCAGCGTGGTATTGTAGGCCAAAACCTCCTTTCTAAGGAGAGGCCTATGTCCAGCAGTGGACTATTAAAGGCTGTTGATGATGATGATGCGTGTTTTGCATTTAATAAACAAAATAAAAATAAAATAAAATACATATAAGATATTTTAGATAAATAACACCCAGACATAGAACAAAATGATTGCGATTATCCCAACCATTTGTTCTGTGTGTAAATGCTAAAGAGCATGTTAGGGCTTTCCCTAACATGCTCTCTGACTCTGACTGACTCTCTCCTAACTATCCAATAAGACCCTCATGTCTATCTCTACACTACCTGTTTATTACCTGAAGTAAAAGAGAGAGAGACTCAAATCAAACTTAGTGGTGTCTTCGCCGAAGCTCATGTGGTTTACTCGTATCTTGAGCTGAAGTACATCATTATGTGTCTTCATAAGATGCTGTGGAGGCAATATTAGGCCACAGGATCCTGACGGAGGCGATGTGAAGAGAAGAATACTGTTCAGGATTATCAAAGATGGCTGGACTGAGGCTAGAAAGCTGGTAATGAAAAAAAATATATGTTGAATACAGTATTATCAAATGTGATGTTTGGATAAGTTAAAGTGATGAACGAATATTTTTCTGATGGACCTAAAAAGTTTGCCAGAGGATTTAAAGTTGAGAGTAATATATCACTGTGTGGACATGTGGAGTGAGAATCGAAATGTTGTGAAAAGATTTTAATGGATAGAAGTTTATGAGTACAAGAGTAAAAGAATGATGAAAAAAAATCGGTTGTCTGTAAAGTTGGTTTACTGACGATAGTTGAACGTGACAACGTCATAAGAAAATACTGATGGAATGGTTGCATTTTTCAAAAATGTATTATTGTATACGAGTAGTAGCTGTCCACGCGGACGCATCGCTCACTCAAGTTCCTACTTGAGAGAGACAGATGTCGAACGCTGCCGAACGCGGAGGCCGATTGTACCTCTTTGTCACTCGTTCCGCGCTCTCGCTTGCACTTCACGCCTTAAATGGAACGCCTCAGAGCGAGGTAACGCCGCATGAGTCATGTTTTTTCGTGCGTGCAGCCGGCTCCATCGCATTATAAGACGTTTTCACGTCAAAAATGTAAGATAAACTACAGAAGATGGAGTATTTCTAAAAACAGTAGATAAGCAATCAAATTCCTAATAAAATTAACTTAAAATTGAGAAAAGCCTTAGTAGATGATGATGAACCTTAATGCACTTAGTACGATAATTTAATAAATCTTGTATCTTGATGTCTCTCACTTTTAAAATAATGTGAAGTATTGAGGACATGTTCAAGCATGCATTTGTAATGCGAATCGGTGACTGGATTCAATTCCTACTAACGCAATCTTACAATAAATTTTACGTTATTTTATGATAAAATTATTAGTCATTGTAAACTTATAATAGAATAATACATCTCAAACACGGCCGCCTGATCCAAAACTAGGCAGAGCCTGTACTATGGTAACCAGGCTGCTGATAAACATACTTATATATTTCTAAATACATACATATCATAGATAATATACACCCAGACACAGAACAAATAGCAGGACTCATCACATAATATTTTCATCCTGCTGGGTGGGAATCAAACCCACGACCTCCGTTTTTGCAGTTACTAACCACCTAGGTATGGAAAAAGCCGTTAACCCTGAAGATCCTGATCAGGATAATCTGAGAAATTTATCGAGTTATTGTCATCAGTCTTTAATAAGTGTGCGAAGTTTGAATTCGATCCGATGTTTTAAAGTTGATGAAAATCACATTCAAAGATGTCGTTACATAGATATATTATATAGATACACACTGTTGGTCTAGTGGTTGGTGACCCTGACTGCTGAACCGGAGGTCGTGGGTTCGATTCCCACCCAGGACAAGTATTTGTGTGATGAGCACGATCGTTTGTTCTGTGTCTGGGTGTAATTTATCTATGATATATAAGATAAAATCTATACTAATATTATAAAGCTGAAGAGTTTGTTTGTTTGTTTGTTTGTTTGTTTGTTTGAACGCGCTAATCTCAGGAACTACTGGTCCGATTTGAAAAATTCTTTCAGTGTTAGATAGCCCATTTATCGAGGAAGGCTATAGGCTATATATCAACACGCTAAGACCAATAGGAGCGGAGCACCAATGAAGAATGTTTCAAAAACGGAGAAAATTTATTACTATTGAGAGACGCAGACGAAGTTGCGCGGGTCAGCTAGTCAAATATATTATAAAAAATAATAATAATATATTATATTTATATATTTCTAAATACATACTTATGTATTTAGAAATATATAAGTATGTTTATCAGCAGTCTGGTTACCATAGTACAGGCTTTGCCTAGTTTGGAATCAGACAGCCGTGTGTGTGATGTGTGCGATTATTATTATTTTTTATTATTATACATACCAAGCTAACAAAAGCGTTTCAAAAAAACTTACTCATAACGATTAGCCCTTGATGTGAACAGCTTGTCTAAAACTTCAGCTCCAGTGATTGGTCTTTCGCAGTCGAAGAAGACACTGCTTTGGTCGGTAGCCTGAGGATTTTTTTTTTTATTCAAGGCAAATATTACAATTTATTGGCTGTGTTAGTGCGTATTAAACCGACTTAAAAAAAGGAGTTTCTTTATTATGTTTGTTACTTTTATTTATAATTTGATTAGAAAAATTATTTAGGACGGTATACTTTCCGTTTGGTCCCATTAAAATTTGAAGAAAAGCCCCTCCTCTTCCCACCCGTAATGAAGGACCAAGGTATGTACAGGAATGCTTTAAGGCTGGTGGTGATGCTGATGATGATACGCTTACCGCTAAGTTCTTGTCTCCAGCAGTGACTGTATACGTAGACTTAGCGTTGTGAGTCTCCACGCTGATTTGGGCTCGAGAGTGCATAGCTACTCCTCCTTGCTGGTCTCCTGGATTCGGCCAAGTCAGTCTGGAACAAATTTCATTGTAGGAAAGAGTACATTGAATGCCGCAATGAGGTTCTTTCTTAATTAAAGTTTCTTTCTTAGAGGTACCCTCTAACCGCAGATAGATGATTGGTATTATTACAATTTGGAATTGATATTTTTAATGTTAGTGTAACGGGAGCGAGGATGTGTTTAAACCTTAAATTCTTCAGCGGTGATGGTAAGAGGTCCGAGTAGTTATTGTTATGGGTCCTGTCTGTTCGTTGTGTATATTATTACGTTCTGTGTAATGTGTAAGTGATCTGTGACTCTAACTTACATAATACCTCTTGATAATATTCTGTATTGTCTTGTGCACTATAACTTATCTCTGATTTATATAAGTGAAAATTTGTAATTGGCTATCTGTTTTCTTGACTGCTTTTATTGTGATCATCATAGCTGTAAATTCTCCATAGTTTGTAATAAATAAATTAGTTAAAGTAAGTAACTGTATCATCCCAAAATCGACGGACCTCCACATCCCAGGTCCTAGGCGATATCGGAGTTCTGTAAAAAGACTGCTGTCGGAATTTTCAAGGCTTCAACTAGGCTTTACGATTGCCACAGATGTTCATATGGCAACCGGACCAACAACTTGACGTGCTCTCCGAGATACAGAGGGGTCTCAATGTGTTAAGAATTGTCACTCATCCATAGACCGACTGACTGTTACTGTTCAAGCGGTCGGCGCGCCACTTCCTACCACCTAGTCTTGTGGGCTCAAACCCCACATGGGACGACACTTTGTTTGATCAACAGATTTTTGTTCTGAGTTTGGGTGTTCTTTGTGTCCGTTTCATGTATATTTGTAAAGTCCCCCATCCCACACAGGATATATTCCTAGTGCAGGAATAAAAAAAATAGACCGACCTGGCTAGGATTGCTTAACTCCACAATGTTACCTTACCTCCACAATGTTACTTGGTTACCAGTTAACAACAAGCCCCTTATTATTGAAGACCATGGTCTCCAATTTGTTAGTAACAATATTTGTAGAGAATAGTGTCATATTTCTGTATGTATTTAATTATATGAAAGGTAAAAATGGACGACTTTTGCATACTATCTTGAAGTTTTATTAAGTAATATAGAATATGTATTTTTGGTGGAAGTACAAGATAAATCTATTACCAACTACCAGGCACAGAGCGAGTTCATACTACTGCTAAAGACAGAAAAAAATACTTACTCTAAAGATTGTTCTTCGATAGAGAATGTAACGTTGAATTTCATTGGCAGGTGTCCAACCAAAGACTGCTGGATCCGAGCCGAATGAAGTGATTGTGCCAGAGGTCCGTCAGTAGATAGAGTTGTGACTGCCGTGCCTTGGTATCTATAAGAGATGGTTATAAAAGCTAAATTTTTCTGCTGATGATAAGTAAAAAAAAAAGTAAAGCGATTTATCTGAACAGCAAAGATTGACTGCTTTTATATGTCTTTGGAATTATATGATAATTCTTTATCTAGATTTTTAATAAATCCTTTAAAATATTTAATTTGAGGGAGCAGTATAGATTTCTTATCCAAATCCAAACAAAGACTAAATTTTTTTCTACTTTTTTATGTTAGAGGGGGAAGACGAGCAGACGGGTCACCTGATGGAAAGTAACTATCGCCGAACATGAACGTCTGCAACTCAGGAGTCACAAACGCGTTGCCGGCCTTTTAGAAAGAACTACGTTCTTTTCTTGAAGGTTTGAAGGGCGTATGCTTGTGAATAGGGCTACCAGAGATTTATTAGGTTAGGATAAGAAGCGCTTAAGTAAGAACAATATTGCTTATGGATACACAAGACCACCAGATAACAGTGCCGTTCTTCAACTGTTCATTTTCTTGTCAAGATGTAACCCTAACTTTATAGCAGAACAAGAGCACAAATTTTTATGTTGGCCTACCTTATGTGAAGATCATTCTTCCACGTAAGATCCTGACTAGACGGAGCTGTTAAGTTTCCTCTTATAGATGTGAAGGATAAAATTGTAGACTGGAGTCGAATGGGTGTTCCTATCAAAAATATAATTATTTTCATTTTATTAGATAATCATGAAGTTGTCTACACAGAGAAATACGAAAATGTAGCGTCCTCGTTTGGACTGTAAGTCGTCCAGAACTAAACCTAATAGAAAGAATTCTGAAAATTATCCCCACTAGCTGTTCGATCTCTCGTCCTGAATTATTTTAAGGACATTTACATTACACTAACCGCAGTGGTAAACCTTAATTAAGAAGATGATTCTTCTGCATAACATGGATAAAGGTATGGAGCAGAAGTCGGATTAGCCGTATTAAATAAAAGATTCCATCATAAGAGATCATCAACATCAAGAAATACAAATTTTGAATTTATAGTACCTGTTCGAAATCATGACGGATTAAGAATACGTAATGTCACCACCCCTATTAATCCCGTGGGTGTCGTAAAAGTCCACTAAGGAAGAAAACTACGCAAGACAACAGCACTGCAAAGAGAAGGAAAACTTGAAACAAACCCTATACCAACCCGTCTCGCTAGCGTGGTATAGTAGGCCAAAACCTCCTTTCAGAGGAGAGGCCTATGTCCAGCAGTGGACAATCATAGGCCGTTGATGTGATATGTGATGTGATTCGAAATCGATCTCAGTGGCGTGCGATGGGCGACGATATTCTGATGATGATGATGATTAGAAATAGGTCTTTTTTTCCAAATAACTTTCATTCATTCAATTAGACTTTCACTCACTTGGCATTTAGGGTGAGAATGGATGAACATAGAATACATTCTTACCCATCTCGCTTGGAATATGAACATCAGTCTGGAACGGGTAGTAAACAATTTGTTGGTTGATGTGACTGCCAAAACGGAGGAAATCTTCTATATATGCCACTGAAAATTGAATTCTATTTTAATGACCAACAGTGATTATTTTTTATCAGCCACATCCTGGAGCTCTTGATTTTATACATTTTCAAGCAGCTCTAATGGAAAATAATCTGAACAAAAAGCTGCTCTAAGTGAATAATAATTATTACTTTCAAAACTTTTGTTTTCTTAAAAAAGATTTCATAATAATCGCGTTTCCGTATAAAAAAATTGAAGAATAAACGACACAACAACAATTTGCACCACTAGAATATAATTTAGTTCTAATATAGTCTAACACCATTATTAAATTTGCCTGGTGTTTCCTGTTTAGGGTTCGCTGGTGTATCTTTTAGCCAGAAGCCTGCCTAACACAAAACTTCTTTGGGAATGTTATATGCTACAATTGTACTGCAAATATAACTACTTAAAATAATATAATAGATATACATCACATAATTTTATAGTTTTCAGATGGGGCAAAACAGATTTTAAATTGAACTAAGAAAAACGGAGAGGAACAGGGAGTCAGGATTAGAGAAACTTATTGGTTATAAAAGTTATTGGAGAGTTCATTAGGACAGGGACATTTTTAGGCTAACATTACTGTTCTAATGTAATACGAATCACCTGGCGTAGGGCTGAGTCTCAACAGATCGCAGCACGACGCTGCTCTACCGAGCACAACACCCCGCCAGGAACGGAAGTCGTCTACAGACTATTCCGAGCCCCGACATCGAACTGAGGTAGATTCGGACCTTTGGAGCCGTGATGCACGCGTTAAACGGACAGCATCGATCTCCGCGATCCAAATGGGCTTCGACGTCGCACCTCACGTGGTGAAGCGCGACTAGTAAAGTCACATTGTTTAGAGCCTCCAGACTCTCGGGGCGCCACAGTGAGCATATCCTTGCCGGATTCGGCTAGGCTGGCTTCGGCCTTAGAGGCGTTCAGGCATAATCCCGCGGATGGTAGCTTCGCACCACCGGCCGCTCGGCCGAGTGCATGAACCAAATGTCCGAAACTGCGGTTCCTCTCGTACTGAGCAGTATTACTATCGCAACGACAAGCCATCAGTAGGGTAAAACTAACCTGTATAAAATACTTACAATCTTCTCCGTTCCATGTCTCGAACCTTGATTGGTTCATATGCGTTGCGTAAACAGTTTTGTCGTGAATTTTGACCACCATATCTATATGCACCTGTAGGAAATAAATTACATGATTTGTAATATTTTCAGAAGAAAAGACATTTGGAGTAACCTGCAAGAACTTTTTCTGGATCTTGGGCAACCTAAAAGGTACTCAGGTCAATCACCACCTGGATGGGAACTACTTGCAAATAATAATAATAGTAAATTACTTATTGAAGTAACTAAGACTCAAAGATGTTGGTAACAATTTGAACTTGCAGCTATATTAGTACGTTTTATAAATTAAGGTTAGACTCATTGCCTTGCAGAACCAGGCGCGGCTGAAGCCGAGATGCAATGAGTCATTTATGGACAATCTAGTCTATTCGCAATCATGTTCAGTATATGCACAGACGCAAAAGCATCATCATCATCATCAACAGCCTTTAATAGTCCACTGCTGGACATAAGCCTCTCCTTAGAAAGGAGGTTTGGACGCAAAAGCGTTGTATCAAAATTAGAAAGTGATGCAATAGGCATGGCATAAGGATATGAAGAGCTGACTTCAAGAGACATGTGATTTTGGCTCAGAAAAAGAGGAAAAAGAAAAATATTTGTCGAAATTTGAATATTTTAGAAAATTGATCTGGAGATGCCCCGTATAGAACCGAAAGATGTGTCGAGTTATTGTTTCATGCCATCTGAGATTGCAAATTACGCTTCTGACGTATCTCACTCTTGGAGATTTCGGTGTACATTCCTGTATCTTCTTTGTCCTATCTATGAAACTTCATTAAGATTTGTCATAATCAACAAGGTCTTAACGCGGAGGAAGATTGGACTAACCAGAAAGAACTGAACATAATCTAGTTATCTGTAGTATTCATTCTATAGCTACACAAGTTTAAAAAAGTTCAGTGTTACTTACTTTTTCGGGTACTTTCATAGACCACACCTTCAACTTCTTCAGTATCTCCACCAGCTCTTCCACTTTTAGCTCTTTGGGGTTAAACCGGCTAAATTTCTTGTACACACTCATTGCGACTCCCTCTATTAATAAATAGACCTGGAATATACAAACGATGTAACAACAATATATAGCGTGTTATGAACGTATGATCATATTTCAAGGTCGTCTAGTAGACCACGTAAGTGTCGTATAATTTTTTTGGAAAGGTCGTTTTTTATAGTATATGGGTGTAAAGGAGCAACGGGGTCATCTGATGATAAGTGATTCATTGTAACACAAGCCCCCTCCCCCCTCCGAGAATCAGAGGGAGATAAAGGGAGACGAGTGGGTACTGATAATCTCACTCACTCAGATTTATGGAAACCTACAGTTTTTTTTTGAACCCGACACATTAAATTTAAAAATGAACTGACTCTGGACGCTGCAGTAGAATTGATTTAGGTGAGTGCGTGAAAACTCTCTTCAAAGTCACTGAACCCTCACTATTCCTTCATCAGGATACTAGGCACAGATAAAGGTTGAACCATTATATTCTTGGCGAACTAAACCTTTTAAGAACTCTTTTTTGGTTCGAGTTGATAAAGTTCGGTGAACTATGTGCGGCTACTCTTTCGAACGAGTATAATCCTGGCTGGTTTAAGAGTAGACAGAGAGTATATCTCTTTAATAAACGTGTACCATCTTATTCTTTACCGTGACTTTCCATCTTGTGAGTTGGTCGGTTAAAAACAAACGCTTATACCAAATAATAAAAAAAACGAATACATTACAACCCCGCCACTTAAGCCGCCTAGTAATTGCTTTGGCGTTTCGTATATGCGTGTCTTTAGTATCCAATATAAATACAACGAGCTGATTCCAGACAACACTGACCTGAAATTCCTTCATGCAAACACATAGAACTTTTTTTTTGAGTTTTCAAAGAAATCTGTTACTCACATCAACTTTATATGGTCTTCTGCCACCAGTACTAAGCTTGGCTCCTATAAAAGTTGGCAGCACACCTTCAGAATCTCCTATGCTCAGGACCTGCAAGGAAGGAGCACCATCTTCTTCTTGTGCACTAATTATGTAGTTGTTCGTCGCCCAGTATAGCGGGTCTGGATTTGATACTTGGTTAATCACGAATGGTACGTAGAAAGATCTTAAAAAACAAAATAAATTAATTACTGATACATACATATCATGTTTTGAGTATTAATAAAAAAAAGATATCCTATGAGTTTTGGTTCTAAGAGATTATCATCAGCCAGGATTAGAGAATAATGATCATGGGAGGGCCAGGATAAGAGTGTGGCATCTGATACAGTTGTTATACACATTTGACATACATACACTTTCATCTTTACACCATATTTACATTTATCTTCATCCATATTATACGCCTACATTTTGTCTATTAAAATGTTAGTCCCCCATGCGGCTTGACCTACTGCTGAGATTTCCTATCAGACCCTAAATTAGTCTGTCTGAAACACTCAAATACCCCATAAGTTCAGTAGTTTTGAGGACATGGATGACAGAATTTCTATTTGAGGCAGTGCAATGGAATACACCACAGCCAGGTCCCAGAAGTATTGAAATGAATTGAAATCGTTTATTACGTTAATAGGTTACAAGAACATTTTTACCGTGTGGTGACGGATTAAGAATACGGGGTGTCACTACCCCAATTCATCCCGTAGGTGTCGTAAGAGCCGACTAAGGGAGAACTACGCAGGACAACAACACTGCAAACAGAAGGAATACTGGAGACAGACCCTATACCAACCCGTCTGGCCAGCGTAGTATATTAGGCCGAAACCTCCTTTCTAAGGAGAGGCCTATGTCCAGCAGTGGACTATTAAAGGCTGTTGATTTGATTATGTGTAAACATTTTTACAAGCCAACCTTTTGTAGAGCAGAACAATCAATCTACCCAAAGAGATATTTTCAAATTCACAGTTGCAGCAAAGAGGATACTTTTGATGCAAAATTAACAATCTAACCCAATCTAACTATCTAACCAAAATAAAAACTACTTCATCATCATCAACAGCCATTTAAGTCCACAGCTGGACATAGGTCTCTCCTTAGAAAGGAGGTTTTGGCCTACTATAACATTCTGCCCAGACATGTTGATATTGGGTTTGTTTCAAGTTTTTCTTTGCAGTGCTGTTGTCCTGCGTAGTTTGCTCCCTTAGTCGGCGACACGACACCGACGGGATGAATAGGGGTGGGGGCATTCCATACTCTTAATCCATCACCACACGGACTAACTAAAAACTACTTACGTCACTCTATATCCAGAAAAATACTTATTCGCTTCCAAGTTATTCAGCGTTGCAAACCAGAATCTCTTGAGCTGATTGTTGTCACATGTGTTAATATAATTGTGAACTAATAAGAAGTCTGACTCTCTGACGTTTGAGGAGCTGAGGAATGTATGGAGAGCTATGATGCGAAGTTGAATGTGTTCAGTAGAATTCATGATTATTGGTAGTGTCGTTTCCAGGATCTAAAAGAAAAATGGATGTATAGTTCGCCAAGTTGGCTTCTTTTTCTTCTTTTAAAGGACAACTCCCGCATTAAGAATATATCATGTGTCTTGGTGTATTCTACAAACATACATGAAACGGACACAAAGAACACCCAGACTCAGAACAAACAACAAACGACAAATGCACTGCAGAGGGTAGGAAAACTTGACACAAACCCTTTACCAACCCGTCTGGCCAGCGTGGTATAGTAGACCTAAACCTCCTTTCTAAGGAGAGACCTATGTCCAGCACTGGACTATTTATTATTATGATGATTGATGATGACAAAGTTGACTAACATACCACATAGGGATCCTCAACTCTGGGATTCCGGGCCAATGCCGCCCAAACTCTTTCATGACGATTTCTACTCGTCTCTGTATGAATAATCCTCGTGTATGATTCCGCAGAGTAACCAATATTACATAAACCCTGGAGCCAAACCATACGGTCTAGATATATAGGACAGTCTGAAAAAAGAGAGTACAAATAAAAAACGTTTACAAAAAGATTTTTGAAAACTGCACATAAAAACAGCTTTAATTATGTAAAAAAACACTAGTTGACCCAGAAACGTTGTTCTGCAACAATATTAAAGGCGCAATCAAAGAATGAGGTGTGGGTAGGAGTGTGAAAAAACTTTACGATCTACTCTCATATCTATTAAATCTACGATAAAAATTAAGTAAAATTGGTCAAGCCGTTTCGGAGTAGTGAGACCACAAACACCGTGACATGAGTTATTTATACGAGTATATAAAAAAATTGTGCATGCACGCACATAACTTTCGAACCGCTGCAGTTTTTTTTAAATCTCATAATATGAAAAGTGGGTGAGTGAACTAGACAGAAAAGAATGTGAGAGATCTATACTAGTTTTGTTCGGTGTAATCTCAGGAACCACGAGTTTGAATTGAAAAACTCTTTTAGGATTGGATAGCCCTTTTATCGAGGAACGATATAGGCTACATACATGGACACCCTGTATGTAACGAATACTGAAATAGTGTATTCAGACCATCATTCTGAGTCGAAACTCATTGGAAAATTAAACCTTTTATTCAATCGGCTGTCAAAGGTCATTCCCCGTAGGTATCGCACAAAAGTAGTAACTACGTGTGTATTCCGTGAAAACAGTCTACACACACTAACACACGTTGGCGGCCAGAGGGGAGTCCTTCAGCTGTTTGATTAATTGCATTGCAGGTTTTGAGCATATGCGGTATTTATTAAATTGGTTTCGGTAAAATGTTCTGTTTACTCATTGTGATATAATTTTTCGTCATTTTAACCAAAAAAAGGCAAATTAAAAAAAATGCATTTTTTGACAGAAAATTCCGATGATTCTCGACTCAGAATCATAACCCGAATACACTATTTCAGTATTCGTTACGACGTTCCTTACACCCTGTATATAACATCAAGCTACGACCAATAGGACCAATAGTATTAGATGAAAACCCCGTTAAAATTAGTTCATTAGTATGAAATTCTCGTGGCATACAGGCAGACACACACCGCAAACTAATGACTCTCCCACGGACTAAGACATAGAAACACTCCAAAAACTTTACCACTGTACATCCTGAAGTATTTCACCACCATATTGTCAAAGTAGTCCTGCTTTACTTGTGATATCATCATGGTTTTATAGAGCAGTGTCGCGAAGCTCAGGATCCCAGCGTGGCGTATATCAGGGGTGAAGTCCAAACCCAGTTTGCTGAACACCTCTAGTTCTTCCAGGAGCGCTTGCTTCGGCGCTGCCACGTTAAAGGGCAGCTTCCGAATCAAGGAGAGGAGTGTTGCGTCTTCCACATTTTCCTGTATGTTATGTCATGGTCAATGAAAGTCTAGGGGAATTCTTACAGCTCAAGGTCAGCTTCAGTGGGTTACTTAAGGAAGTAAATATATTATGAGAATCTCCCAAAGCTCAGATATATGGAATTTATCGAGTGTCTCAGAAAAGTTTAAACATGCAAGAATGTTCCACGATGTTCCAAGAGTTTCCTTTTAGGTGTTCTGTGAACCGTCAGGTAAACAAAGAATAGCGAACAATAAAGCAAAGTTCAGTAAGAGTAGTTGTTAATTATAGGTTATTAATTATAAATAAATAAATTATGTCTATTTTGCATATAAGCCGGTGATTGTCTTTATTCATAAACCAACTATATACATACGACTAATGAAATAGGTACTGTTACGAGTTGTCCGTAACAGTATTTCATAAGTAGTATCAGTGAACTCACCTTTTCTTCCAGCACCAGATATTTGATAAACTTGACAGAGGCATCGCTCCTGGAGTGTGGTAATACCTCCAGGAATATATTCCGCGCAGTTTCCAATTCGTAACTTGTCCCAAGAACCAAGTCATTGAAGAGACGGACAAGAGTCTCATAATCCAAACGAGATATAGAGCTGGAACAGGAATTCAATTTTACAGAAATTTTTAAATAATAGTTCACTCATTTCCATGATCATAAAATTAAAAATAAACTTTTACATAAAAAATCTTTTTACACGTATACAGTACCTAAACTTCTGTCCAACCGTCTTAGTTGCCACCCCAAAAAATACAGAAATATTAAAATTGTATAACTTGAAAACAACGCCGCCTGATTTCAAACTAGGCAGAGCCTGTGCTATACTGATAAACATACTTATATATTTCTAAATACAAACACGTTATAGATAAATTACACCCACGCAGCAATTTATTGTACTTATGGGAATTTAAACTACTGCCTCTGGTATATCACCAAGGATCGCTAACCCCTTAATTAAAAGGCTTAGCAAAATACTGATTTAAAAACTCTAAAATTGTAAGAAACTTTAAAACCTCTCTGCCTAATATAATTTGAGTCTGTTTATAACCCGTAAGCAATTGATTAGAAGTTTAACCGCTAATCTAAGAAGGTATATTCTCAGGTTTTTTAAATATCATCATCATCAACAGCCATTATTAGTCCACTGCTGGACATAGGCCTCTCCTTAGAAAGCTCTGCTATACCAGGCTGGCCAGACGGGTTGTGTCAAGTTTTCTTTCAATTTGTAGTGCTGTCTTGCGTAATTTGCTCCCTTAGTCGGCTCTTACAACACCCATAGGATAAACCAAGATAGTGACAGTCCGTATTCTTAATCTGACGGATTAAGAATACGGACTATCACCACCCCTGTTTTAAGTTACCACACGGCATTTTTAAGTTAGTTTAAGTAAAAGTTAGTTTTTTTAAATTTACTTACTTTAAAAGGTCTATAAAATCCAAACTGTGTATAAGAGAAGCATTTCTAACGATGTTGTCAGCGTCTATTCCAGTTCTTGCAATTTTCAGGAGCATCTGCAATAAAACAATTTATTTTTATTTACAATAATGTTCTGTGACATATTCCAGCACTATATAACTTCAAATTAAACTTTTCCCATAGGCTTTATAACAATAATGCTAAAATCCCTCCCTCCCTAACTCTGGTCAAAGTGGGAATCACTTAAAAGGCGGCAACGCAATTGTTTCTTTTGAATTGCAAAGGTCCGTGGACGTTGGTAGTGATGCGGATAAACTCTAGCTTAAAACCATTATGATGGCCATGGTCTGTGCGAAGGAGCACAGGATTTTACTGCCTCATTTCGGTAAGAAGAAAAGTATGATAAAGAGGTGACGGCTTCTTCTCTCTCGCCTCGCAGAAAACGCTAACGTTCTACAGTCTTTTTTTTTGTTTTGTTTCTAATAAACGACTACATTAGGAATTTATATTTCTGTGTCGCGAAGGACTTAACAAATATACATGAAATGAACATAAAGAACACCCAGATTTAGAACCACAATTTGTAGATCACACAAAGTGGTGTCCAATGTGGGATCAAACCCATAACACTCAGCGCAGTAGGAAGTGGCGTGGTGACCGCTTAAACTACTACGCCATCTGTGCGGTCAAATTAGACTCGCCGTTAACGAGTATTACCGAGTAACTAAGTATCTAACTAGTACATGATTTGACGACTATACACTTTACAAAAATAAATAAATAAATATATATATATATAGAATACTATACATTTATAACTAGTGTGCAGTATCGGTTGCTGGGATAAAAACACGTCGCGTTGCAATACAAAATGGCCGATTAGCTAAACTTATAATTATTATCTCATAAGAACGCTTTAAGTTTCTTCATGACACACATATGAAGTGCTGAGGTCCTCTGAAAGCCAATGATTACACAAAATCATTTTCCGTAGAAGCTGTACGTAGAAGTTTTATATTAATATAATTGTGGAAGCTACGGAGAACAGTCCTTTTTTATTTAAACGAGCCCCCATACATCCCTATGGAATGCCTTGCCGGTTTCTATCAGTCTTGCGTAATCCGTAAGCACCTTCAAGACTATGCTGTATGAGCATTATCTGTCTCTCATAGTTTGAAATTAATGTATGAATATATTTACGTATGAATGTATAGTATCAATGTATAAATATAGATTAGTAGGATATTTGTATGATAAATACAAGGCCGCCCTTTGTACATTACATCTGTTGTTAATTACTTTATAATGTCTGTAAAACCCTGGTGTACAAATAGTACACGTATTACTATACAACGTATTACTATACAAGTATTTATCTATCTATCTCAGTGAAAAAAAAAGTTTTTTACGTCCTGTTATCTGAAAACCATCTACCACGTACAAAACTTAAACTGCTTCACTATCTGATGTCACTGTATAGAAAGACTAGTAGTCGACCCGAGCAACTTCGTCTGCGTCTCTCAATAGTAATAAATTTTCTCCGTTTTTGAAACATTCTTCATTTGTGCTCCGCTCCTATTGGTCTTAGCGTGATGATATATAGCCTATAGCCTTCCTCGATAAATGGGCTATCTAACACTGAAATAATTTTTCAAATTGGACCAGTAGTTCCTGAGATTAGCGCGTTCAAACAAACAAACAAACAAACAAACAAACAAACAAACTCTTCAGCTTTATAATATTAGTATAGATTTTCCAGAAACGGTTCAGTTGTTTCAAAGATTACCCCCTACATACAAACTAATTTTACCTCTTTATAACATTAGTAAGGAATAAAAACTTACATCGTAAGTAGTATTTTTCAAACTTCCTTGGGTGACGTTTCTGATACCGTTTGACGGGTCTCTGTAGTCACTGGCCACATACTGTATAGAGGTTTGGAAAAGATTTATTTTTTCAACACTCTGGGCTGGTATATCTTGGTCGTAGGTCAGAGATAAACTGGAAATAAGTAAAAGCCATATTTAAGATTTCGATATTGGGACTAATCCCACCCACACGCCCACCACTGTAACTCCTGTACACCAGGATCCACAGCAGTAACCCACGAACACACCGAGTTATGACACTCGGGAAGTCCCAGGAAGAAATTAAACTGTCTTGGAACCCGCAACGAAATTAATCAGAAGAAAATTGGAGGAGTTGGAAATACAGAAAGCTTTCGATAGTCACAATTTGGAAATAACCGTTGTTAGGCAATTCATTCGTTTATTTTCACCGACTAAGTGACCAGAGACCAACGCACCACTCCCCCCGATGCATTTGTGATGCAGTTGTCTATGGGTGGCGGTAGTCACTTATTATCAGGTCATCTGTCCCTTCGTTTACCTCTCTAGGCATACCATACAAAATGCGGGTACGTGGCCCTGGTATTTCAAGCTTTTTGAGTCACAGTCACTCATCCGAGATTTGAGGTATCCCTTACCCTTGCCCCACTGGTTTATCCTTTTTCTTATTCCAATTTACCTCATGGCTTTGTCCTATGGAGAACCTTCCCAAAAACGATTGACGTCAGACCAGGCCAGGACAGTCATAAAAGATGTTGAAAAAGAAGTTTGATAATAGCATAGGCCATAGTGAATTTTAGAACAATGATTTTTGAAATGTCCCATTCTTCCGGTGGTGGCGTTGTATTCGTTTTCGAAATGTCTAATGTGAATGTAATTTCTTGCTGTATTTAGATCCAAATAAATCCAGAGTTTATTGAGAGAATTCTTATTTATTTTGTGTAATCTGAATAGGTTATGGGCCCAGTCCCATCGCGAGTAATAAATAAATAAAGAACAATTACAGTAAAGAATCAGATATTAGACAAAAGGTTTGTCTACGACTCGTAAAAATGGAGGTTGCTGGCAAATCTATGTGCGTTGAAAAGTTCGACGGATCCAACTTCAAACAGTGGAAATTTCAAATTAAGTGCGCCCTGCGAGCAAAGGGATTAAAAATCAACGAACCACGTCCGACTACGAACGCCGCACAATGGGAAAAAGATGACGGGATGGCGATGTTCCTCATCACGTCAGCTATGGACTTAAAACAAATTGCTTTGGTAGAAAACTGTGAAACGGCTCAAGAAATAATGTCAAAACTAGAGTCCGTTTTTGAACAAAAGTCAGAACTGACCAAAATGATGTTACATGAACGCTTTTATCAGTACAAAATGTCAGCGACAGACAGTATTGCTCAACACATTGCAAAAGTAGAAGGATTAGCTAAGCAACTGAAGGAAAGTGGCGAAAAGATTAGTGACACTGCTATTATGACAAAGATTTTAAGTACCCTGCCATCTAAGTATAGATCGCTTCGCCAGGCATGGATGTCACTTGATCCAAGCAAGCAAACAATTGCAAACTTGACTGCACGTTTGTTAGATGAGGAAGCAAGCATGAGTGTAGAAGAAGTAAATGAAACTGCCTTGTTGGTGGCAAAACAGAATACAAAGAAAACTCAGAATACAAAGTCAAAGAAAGAAGTAAACAATGAAGCAAAGGAAAGGCAGCAGCATCGTTTTCCTTGTTACAATTGTGGCAAACGTGGTCATTTTGCCAGAGAATGTCGTGCACCTAAGAAAAGTACAGGTGAAAAGAATATGTTATCTTTTAGTGTAACAAACTCGGAATGGAGTGATGTAGATGAAAGTCACAAATGGATTTTGGATAGCGGTGCTTCAGCACATATGTCTTTTAAAAAGGAATACTTTGTGGATCTACATAAATATGAAGGATCTCCACTGAGGTTAGGAAACCGAGAACCAATTGAAGTCGGTGGTCAAGGAAATATTTTGATAAAGAGATATGTTGGTGGCCAGTGGGAGACCAGTATTTTGAAAGATGTCCTATATGTACCTAAACTACATCGGAACCTGTTCTCAGAGGGAGCTGCTTCGCGTCAGGGATACACAATTGTGAAAGCAAATAGTGACGCTAGAATTTACAAAGAAAATGAATTAGTCATGTGTGCGAATCTTCAAAATAATAACCTATATGAACTAAAAGTCAAAGCTCTTCAAAGTCACATGTGTCATGTAGTGCAAAAATTAGACCTTAAAACAGTACATGAACGTTTAGGACATCTGAATATTGAGGAAATTAAGAATATGTATAAAAACAACGTGATTGCCGGTTTAGAATTGGACCTGTCAGACAATGACAAGTTTGTGTGTGAGGGGTGTGTATACGGCAAACATGCTCGGAAACCTTTCAAACGTTCCAGCCGAGGGCAGTTACAGCCTGGTGACATTATCTATAGCGACGTGTGTGGACCTTTTAATGTGCTTTCTATGCAAGGTATGAAGTACTTTGTTATATTTAAGGATGCAGCCACCAGCTACAGATATGTCTATTTTTTGAAACATAAAAGCGATGTACTAGATTGTTTCAAGAAGTTTAATGCAATAATTAAAAATAGGTTTTTGCATAGTGTGCGTATACTCCATACTGATAATGGAGGTGAGTATAAGAGCAAAGAGTTTAAGGAATATTTAGAAAGGGAAGGCATTTCTCACGAGTTAACTGCTTCATATACCCCAGAACAAAACGGCCGTGCTGAGCGAGAATTAAGAACCATTGTTGAAAGTGCTCGTGCCATGCTATATGCTCGTAATGTACCACTTAAGTTATGGGCAGAGGCAGTGAATTGCGCCGTGTATTTGCTCAATCGTACATCTTCGAGTCAAACACCAAAAATCTCGCCTTTTGAATTGTGGAATAATGTGAAGCCGAGTCTAAACCATGTTAGAGTGTTTGGTTGTGAAGGTTTTGTTCATAAACCAGAACAATTGAGAACAAAGCTTGATAGTAAAAGTCATAAGATGATGTTAGTTGGATACGACAATAACAACTATAGAATGTTCGATCCTAATAAAAAGACTATTACAGTTTCTAGAAATGTTATTTTTGATGAACAAAGCACTTCTAAAATTGACAGACAAATGGCTCAGATATGGATTGAAGAAGGGGAACAAGTAGAAGAACAAGCAGTGGGAGTATCCACACATAATAATGGCGATGATTCAAACGACCAGAGTGACGATAGTGTTTATGATGAGATAGACCAGGATGAGACGTATGAGCCACCTCAAGAAATTGACCTGAGCGGTATTGGCAGGTCAAACATTACGTTACGATCTAGAAACCGGTTTAATGAGGCAAACGTGATGGAATTCGATATCCCTAATACATTTGAGGAAGCTATTACACGTCCAGATTGTAAGTCCTGGTTGAATGCTATAAATGAAGAAATAGAAGCTCATAATGAGAATAACACTTGGAGTCTAGTTGAGAAGAGAGATCAGAGAACGATAACATCAAAGTGGTTTTTCACTATTAAAAGAAACCAAGAAGGAGAAATAGAGAGGTACAAGGCCCGTCTCGTTGCCCGTGGTTTTTCACAAGTCAAAGGGATAGACTACAGTGAAACTTTTTCTCCTACTACTAGATATGAATCGATTAGAATCTTGTTAAGTATTGCTGCACAATATAAATTTAAAATAAGACAGCTTGACGTTAAGACAGCATTCTTATATGGAGATGTGGAAGAGGACATCTATATGGAGATTCCAGAAGGAGTAAAAGCACCTCTGAATAAAATTTGCAAACTAAATAGATCTCTCTATGGACTGAAACAGGCCTCAAGGTGTTGGAATAAGAAATTTACAGATTTTTTGTTAAAATTTGGTTTTAAGCAATCCCAAGCTGACAGTTGTGTTTTTACATGTACTTTTGATGACACTAAAGCATTCTTAATTTTGTATGTTGATGACACTTTAGTTATGTCAGAATCCAATTCTGTTTTAGATAAAATAATCAATTATTTACAGCAGAGTTTTAAAGTAAAAGAATTGAATTTAAATAGATTTGTGGGATTGGAAATTTTAAAAGGAGAAGATTGTATATGTATAACTCAAAGAAGTTATATAGAACAGTTAATTAATAAATTTAATATGAAAGATGCTAACCCTTGTAATACACCTGTTGATGTAAATGTACCAATAGTTAAAGATATTGATTGTAAAGAGACTAATTTTCCTTACAGGGAAGCAATAGGCTCATTATTGTTTTTGGTAACAGCTAGTAGGCCAGATATGTCATATGGTGTAAATATGTTGAGTAGGTATGTGAACAATTATAGTTCTCAACATGTAGCTCAAGTAAAGAGGATGTTTAGATATCTCTTGAAAACTAAAAATGTATGTATTAAGTATCAAGGTGAAGAAAATTTGATTGGGTATTCAGACTCAGACTATGCTGGGGATATTGACACAAGAAAGTCAACTTCAGGTTATGTTTTTATGTTAAATGGTGGTCCCATCTCATGGGCTAGTCAAAACCAATCTTGTGTCGCCCTATCAACAACTGAGGCTGAATTTGTGGCTGCATGTGAGGCAGCTAAAAATTTTTTATGGTTAAGACAGTTTTTCAATGATATAGGTGTAAATCAGAATGGTACAAATTTGTGTATGGATAATCAGAGTGCCATAAAATTAATTAACAACCCTGTTTACCATAAAAAGACTAAACATATTGATGTTAAATTTAATTTCATTAGAGAAAAGGTGAGACAAAAATTGTTAACTATTAAGTTTGTACCGAGTTCAGAGCAACTAGCCGATATTTTGACAAAAGCACTGCCTGTGTTGAAGTTTGTTAATATCAGGGATCAAATACTTTCAGTTTTGTAATGTCGCTAAATGAAATAGAAGTAAAAAAATAATAATAGAACAAAATGAAAGTGTTTTGCTGTATATCAAACTTAGTGGGAGTGTTGAAAAAGAAGTTTGATAATAGCATAGGCCATAGTGAATTTTAGAACAATGATTTTTGAAATGTCCCATTCTTCCGGTGGTGGCGTTGTATTCGTTTTCGAAATGTCTAATGTGAATGTAATTTCTTGCTGTATTTAGATCCAAATAAATCCAGAGTTTATTGAGAGAATTCTTATTTATTTTGTGTAATCTGAATAAAAGATACCATCCAAAATTCTTCGACGACCAAAAATATGATTGTGATAGGATCAGAAAGACGCTCACGGTGATGATGGTGATGATGAATCTTAAAACATACTTACTAAGTATTTACAGCTAATATATAATCATGTGTTTTGTATTGATAACTTGATTGTAACTCCATTGAATGCAATCCTTTGTAGTCATCAATATCGTATGTGCGTTCTGCTGAAGACACGGAGTCTATCTGGAAATAGAAGTAATGGTTTTCTGATAAAAGAAGTGTAAAGTATTGATAATACTATCTGCTATATAAAAATCATTTCGAGTCCAAGAACTCAAATTTCTTAAATAAAAGGAAGGTGCCTCTGAACTGGTAAGCTGGTCCTGACTGATGGCTCCTGCCACACAGTTCCTCGTAGTATATATCACACATTTCAGTTCGAGTTCAAAAAACTTCTTAAAGCGCTGGGCTTTTGATACTTAGTACTTTTAGCGTCTGCCACTGTGGATTGCTCAATGGAGTTAGTTTACCGGCTCGAGGCTGGATTGCCGGACGCCTCTCCGGAGAAGGGTCCATCGAGTTACCTACGAGAGGTGACCGACCGTTACGACGTCTTCATTTGGTAAAACTCTTCAATTGATCAATTGAGTTCTATCTAGTAGGGAGCAGTACCCACCAAATTTTGTTAACAACGTAACTTGTTCATTCCATTCTCTGCTCCACCTGATGTGTGCCCCAACTATACATAAGTAAGCACCGCAAGTAACCATATATAAGTAAACGTAAGTATCATGACCCTTACAATAGCTCTTCCAACGTAATCTGGTGACCAGGGCACGGAACTCCAGCTGCTTCTACTGCTAGCCGTGGGGACCCGCAGACTGGTGTACTTCTTCACCAAGCTGCCTTGGGACAGGTAGATCATAGCGCATATGTCGTCTAGGCATGGCTGTAAGCACAGAAATGAGGAACTAAAATGAACTGAGTATCTTTGGATTATGTAGACATGTATTTAGATAGATTTCCAAAACAATTACGCTTAATGAAGTCTTATAGTAAGTGCCGTGTGGTGACGGAATAAGAATACGGAATATCACCACCTCTATTCATCCCGTGGGTGTCGTAAGAGCCGACTAAGGGAACAAACTACGCAGGACAACAGCACTGCAAAAAGAAGGAAAACTTGAAACAAACCCTATACCAACCCATCTGGCCAGCGTGGTATAGTAGGCCAAAACATCCTTTCAGTCAGTCAGTTCAAGTAATTTAATATTTGTATAAATCATCACGCTCATCACACACTTATTCGTTCTGGGTGGGAATAGAACCCACGACATCTGGCTCATTAATCAGTGTCGCTAACCACTAAAGCAACAAGCCAACTATGTGTACCTATGTGTATACAAATTTTTAAGAAAATTAAAAGCAAACTTTTTAATAATATTTAATATATATTTTTTTAATAATATTTTCACACATCTCACACACGGCCGTCTGATCCCAAACTAGGCAGAGCCTGTACTATGGTAACCAGACTGCTGATAGACATACACATATATTTCTAAATACATACATATTATAGATATAGTACACCCAGACACAGAACAAATGACTGCGCTCATCACACAATCATTTGTCCTGGGTGGGAATCGAACCCACGACCTCTGGCGTAGCAGTCAGGGTCACTAACCACTAGACCAACAGGCCAGTCAAATCATTAAATCATGTTCATTTGTTTACATAGTTACTTACAAATAAAAATATTGTTACCTCATTGATGGAGTATGTCCCGCTGTCCTTCGTAACTTGGAAATTAATAGAGATAGCCCTCTTCAAGTTCGCCGACCAAGCCGGCTCGTCGTAACCAACGTATATCGATTTGATATAACCATTTTCCTTTAGAAACAACAAGAAAATTACATACCTATAATAATAATAATAATAATATGATATAATATTCTACCACATACACACAACGCCATCTAGTCCCAAACTAAGCAGAGCTTGTACTATGGGTACTAGACAACTGATATAAATACATATATACTTTTTTTTTGTAAATACATACATATTATACATAGAAACACCCAGACCAAATCAAACATCAAATTTTCATGCACACAAATGTTTGACTTGAGCGGGAATCGAACCCGCGACCTTTGGAATAGCAGTCCGTTACAGAAACCACTACGCCATCCGCTATATACATACGAGTATATTTTAATTTTTATGTAAGAGACAAACCAAGCAGAGCTTGTACTATGAAAGCTAGATTGACTGATAGAATACTTATATACTTTTTTTTGAAAATACATATATATATTTTACATAGAAAACACCTAAACTCCGAAAGAAATATTTGCAAATCATATAAACACTTAATCAAACCCGAGGCCTCAGCACAGCACCACGTTTTAACGTGGGAGAGAGATGCTTCGGCACGAAAGGGCCGGCTTGACCGGGTGATACCATGGCCTCACAGAAAACCGTTGTTAAGCAATTCTTTCGTTGCCTTTCACTGAGTGAGTGAGGTTACCGGAGCCCAAATCCCCCCTCTCGCTGACTCGAGCGGCCTCTAAGTGCGACAACGCACTTGTGACTTGAGTTGCAGGTGTCAATGGGTAGCGGTAGTTGCTTACCATCAGGTGACCCGTCTGCTCGTTTGCCCCCTTATACCATAAAAAAAAAACACCCAGGCAGTTTAATACATAAAATCTTTTTACCTGGTAATCCAACTCCCAGGGATCTTTCAAACATTTCTTGTCGGAATGTCCCCTATCATGTAATTCTGATGTTGTTAAAGGATGTACTATCTCCTGGAATATATACAAACACACACATTATCAAAACAAATATATAATAAGAAATAAAAGTTGTCCGTGTGGTGACGGATCAAGAATACGGATTGTCATCACCCCTATTCATCCCGTGAGTGTCGCAAGAGGCGACTAAGGGAGAAAAATCTGCAGGCTAACAGCACTTCAAAGAGAAGGAAAATTTGATACTACGCGTCTGACTAACGTGGTGTAATAGAGTCTATGTCATGAAAATAACAGAAACATTTAAAAATAATTAACCTCACTTAACTCATACACGGCCGTTTGGTCCCAAACTAGGCAGAGCCTCTGCTATACTGATAAACATATTTATATATTTCTAAATACCAACACATTATAAATGAATTGACTGCGACTGCACGGATGGCGTAGTGGTTTAAGCGGTCGCCACGCCGCTTTCTATTGCGCCGAGTGTTGTGGGTTCAAACCCCACATGGGATAACACTTTGCGTGATCCACAAATTGTTGTTCTGAGTCTGGGTGTACTTTGTGTCCGTTTCATGTATGTTTGTAAAGTCCCCCGCGACACAGGATTTATTCCTAGTGCGGGAGTTGTCTTTTTAAAAAAAAAAAAAATTACACCCACGCAGCATTTTATCATGCTTGTGGGAATTTAAACTACTGCCTCTGGTTCAGCACTCAGGATTGCTAACCCCCTTTAATTAAAAAGACTTGGCAAATACTGATTAAAAAATGTTGATAAACCAGGCTGTTGATAAACATAATTAAATATTTTCAATTACATACAAATTATAGGTAAATTACATCCAGACACAGAACAAAATGGTCGTGCTTCGTAGTCACTAGCAGACGCTCTGCACATGACGGGCAACAAGAGAAGATAATAAGAGTTAAGATAGAGCCAACCTTCCTTACCTTCAAACCTTGAAGTGACATTCTGGCCTTCGTAAAATTGTCATACACCTGCACGTAAAGTTTAGCTTCCAGCTGCCAATAGGTGCCACGCTGTCGTGGGGTCCAGGTGCCCGTGGAGACATTACTGCTTAATGAGAAGATGTACTTCCTGTGTTCTTCAGGAAAGAGTAGCCGAAGCCCTCTCTTTGGTTCTGCTGATGTTGAAACTGTTACTGAAATGAATATTGCAGTATTTTATTTAACAAAGTCTTTAACTCGCATTTAAGTGAACTTTATCATTAAACTAAGTAACATTCCCTGACAAAATAATAACAGTTATAACTATTTATTTATTTTTATTAAAAAAGACAACTCGCACTAGGAATAAATCCTGTGTGGCGGGGAACTTTACAAACATACATGAAACAGACACAAAGAACACCCAGACTCAGAACAACAATTTGTGGATCACACAAAGTGTCGTCCCATGTGGGGATTGGACCCACAGCACTCAGCGTAGTGGTGAGCGGCGTGGCGACCGCTTAAACCACTACGCCTACGCGCTACTAGTCAATTAAAAATTATAATTTAAATAATCAAGAAATTATATTAATAAAAATAACTTTACACATCTCATACACTGCAGTCTGATCCTAAACTAGGCAGAGCCTGTGGCTATAGTTACCAGACTGATTATTTACTCCTAAATATATATATATATACATGATAAATAAATTACACCAAGACACAGAACAAATGAAAGTGCTCATCACACAATAATTTGTCCTAGGTGAGAGCTGAACTCACAACCTCTGTTTTGCAGTCAGGGTACTGCTATAATGCACCAGGGACTTCCTTTGTAGGGTATACCTGGTTCCCCGGCTATTAGTACCCGAGACGGCGTGCGGTTTTAGTCGGTTCGAGTCCGACATGCCATGTGGTATCCGAGGGGATTTCCGCACGGGAAAAAAAAGGGTAATAAAAAAATAAGGTAGCGTAAAAAAATACTAACCACTAGCAAAACTAACTCGTCAATTACTTGATTATAGTTTAAGCAGGTATAGCTAAAAGCGTAATAAGTAACTTACACAAATATTAATAACCAACAAGTTTTTGAACGCGAATTCACTGGCGTTAAATACCTTTTCCAGAATAATGAGTTGCCTATGAATCATTGAGGCCATGAGATATACCAGACTATATAATCTATGTCTGTGCAATATTTTATACAGATAGATTCTGCCATTCTAGCGTAATTGACAAACAATTATCCATTGGAACATGCATTTATGGGTATATAAGTTACTTACAGCAAATAAAAACAGCCAACAGCTTAAAATACATTTCGGTTAATCTGTAAATTTAAAATATAATTAATACATTTCAACTCAACGTAAAGAATTTTTCTTCTCAGAATATTATTTAAGCTCGCCTAATCTTCAGTACTCAATACTCAAACTCAAATTCTCTTTATTTCATAAAATTGTTTGAAATCGTCTTTTATGTAGACTCTAAAGTCATAGATCAACACAAAAGCAACAATCTGTGTTTTGCCAAATAGTAAGCAATTAATAAAAATCAAACAAATACAAAATCTATGATATGCCTGTGCCGATCTGTAACCTCCCGTCTCCAAGGGGTTGAGCCCTTTGAGAAGAAGGGCAGGAATTGAAAAAAAATATATATAGAACTTAATAATCATTTTTTTTTAATTTTCAAGCTTTCACTTCTGTTGGAACTCCCGGAGTACCACTGTTTTTTTTTCATAGTACAGAGGCAAAACGACCTAACGAGTTACCTGACGGTAAGCGACCACCGCTGCCCATGTACACCTACAACTGATGAGTCACAAGTACGACACCGCCTTTTAAGTCCCCTCCCCTACAGAATTAGAGGGAAGTAGGGTTTGTAGCTCCAGTAAACTCACATACTCGACGAAAAAAAATTACGATCTGGCGATTTTCATTGTTATAATTTCCATGTACCCAGTGTCAACAATAAGACGATTCTAAAGACACCTCAATCACCAAAAACCATGAAGCCGTATAGGCTACAGAGCGTATCAAAGAAATATAATAGTATTACACCCCGCTCCTTCTGGTAAAATCAGATCAAAACATAATCAATTTTTTCCCATCTTTAATTCCGTGACAGCGCTAGGCCCATCACCAACCCTTAATAATCCTCAGCTAGACATAGGTTTCTCCTTAGAAGGGAGGTTTTGGCCTACTATAAACTGGCCACGAGTTGATATAGGGTTTGTTTCAAGTTTTCCTTCCCTTTGCAGAGCTGTTGTCCTGCGTAGTTTGCTCCCTTAGTCGGCTCTTACGACACCCACGGGATGAATAGGGGTGGTGATACGAAAATTATACACTTCGTTTTCAAAAAAGATTGCTTAATACGCCTCCGGCTTTAACGTCGCTGATATAGGCGTGCGCATCTTCATATTAAAATGAATACTAAGTAGACTGCCTGAGAACACGAGCAGCAAAATACTTTTGAAATTAACCGATGATGTAGTCTCATATAGGAGTTATACGAAGTAAATATGGATGGAGTAGGAAACGAAGGATTACAGAATATTTAAATAGCTGTTAGTATTAATACCTAAAAATTATAGTAAAAATATGCATAAAAAAAATATTAGTAAATATGTATAGTAAAATAAATATTAAAAACAGTATAGTAAAATTGTAATTCAAATATGTAGAAAATATCAGTAAATTAGTTATAAAATAGGTATAGTAAAAATATGTATACTAAAATATATACAGTAAAAATATCTGTAGTAAAAATATGTATGACCCCACAAGGAGTATAGTGTAAACTAGATATAAGATAAAAAGATAAAATATTTATAGTAAAAATATGCATAATAAAAATATATGCAGTAAAATATGTATAGTAAAAATATATATACAGTATTTATAGTAAAAATATGCATAATAAAATATGTATAGTAAAAATATATGTATAGTAAATATATATATTAAAAATATGTATAGTAAAATATGTATAGTAAAAATATGTATAGTAAAACATGTACAGTAAAATTATGTATAATAAAAATAGGTATAGTAAAAATATGTGTACTAAATATAACCAGTAAAAATATCTGTAGTAAAATAAGTATAATCCCACAAGGGGTATAGTGTAAACTAGATATAAGATAAAAAGATAAAATATTTATAATAAAAATATGCATGATAAAAATATATGCAGTAAAATATGTATAGTAAAAATATATGTATAGTAAATATATATAGTATTTATAGTAAAATTATGTATATTAAAAATATATCTATAGTAAATATATTTATTAAAAGTATGTATAGTAAAATATGTATAGTAAAAATATGTATAGTAAAATATAACCAGTAAAAATATCTGTAGTAAAAATATGTATAATCCCACAAGGGGTATAGTGTAAACTAGATATAGAATAAAAAATAGCCATAAGATATATAAGGTCCCGGTGTATCCTTGACTGGGAAAAGCGACAAAAAAAAAAAAAAAAAACCTCATAGCTGACGATGTGGATATATTTTGTTGTTCTTTGAGTGAATTCACAATTATAGCACTAAGTAAAATTTGTTACTTTAGTTTGTAATTTAGTTTAGTTTAGCTTAAATTTAATTAATGTAACTACAACATCGCCTTGGAAAAATACTGTAAAGATATTGTAAGAAAAAATAAAAAATAAAATAAAATAAATAAATAAAATAAGTTAACTAAAATATGGCTGACTAAAATAATTTGAATACTCTGGGCCATACTGGGTCAAAAATTAGGTTCACCTATGGTTCAACCGATTTACTATAATTAATGTTAAAAAAAGTGTCAACAACTTTAATGCGCATATATTATGATGAATTCTAAAAAGCTACATCATTCACCTCTTAATTTTCCATCCTTAGAGGTAGAATATTTTCTTCAAATTTAAACGGAAGTTACCTTAAACTCTTGTGCTCCTTAAGACAGAAAAATTATCTTTAATTAATTAATTAACTACTAAATGAGAATTGCTAATCCTGTATCGCGATATAAAGAATTCTCTCGCCGATTAGCATATATACAACTTCCCAACATCAACCGTTGGGGCGGATTCGCCTGGACGTCGACGAGTGAACATCTCCGCAGCGCCCGAAGACTTCCGAAGCCCCGCCGAGGATAGCCGAAGGCCTACGAAGATTGTTTACTCGTTTACTCGCCACACGGAACCTGTCCTACGCCTCCCGGCCTTTAGCCGAGTGTTCGTGGCCGACGTTCGCCTCACATTGCAGTGGCAAACAAGCGCAACAGTGCTGATTTAATTGTGGGTCGACCACATCCCAACCCTTCGGGGTTGGTTTTCAGCGGCGAATCTGCTGCGCTTGTTCGCACCTGCAACGCCACCATTACCACAGCGACACCGTTGTAACCAAGGGCTGGCCGTGCGCTCCCCGAGCGCCAGCCATGCCAAAACAAACCACCACGCCCTCAGAGGGCAGTAGCAACAACTCGCCTTCACCGCAAGGCGTAAATGTCTCTCGCGCTCCGCGGGCTCGAGCGCCTCCCGCGTTCGCCCGCGTTGAGCGCGAGGCACCCCGAAAAACTGAAACATCCAGCCGACCGGCCGCGCCCAAGGTCCCTACAGAGGACCCGACGCGCCGCCGTAGCACAATGCGGCCACCCCCCACCTCTCGACCGTTAACACGCACCGCTCCGCCGCCCTCCCCGGCTGCGTCGAGCGACGTGTTAACCAAAACTACCCCCATCCGCCACCGCGAAGCCGCTCCACCGCGCCAATCGGCTATGGAGTCACCGGCCCCTCGCTCCCTGTGCTCATCAACAACGTCGCTGCACTCCGCCGAAGGAGATAGTGACACGGACGCACACACCGCCCGCCCCCCATCCGTCCTTCCGCGAACAGAGGTGCCACAAGCGGCGCCTCTGCCTGCGGGAAGTACACAACAACAACTGAGAAGGACTCAGTCCTTCTCCGCGACCTCACGACCCGCGCCCATGGAAACGGACGCACCCAGACCTCAAGCCCCCGCCCGACGCCCGCGTAGCCCCGAGGAGGACAACGAGGCGAAGCGTTACAAACCCGCCCCCCAGCGCGATCCACGCCTGGCGCGACAAGCGGGTCTAGGCGAGGGCAGGTCGTACGCCCGAGTGGTGACATCCCCACCACCCCCTACAACGACAACCACAGCCGCCATTGACACCATAGCTAGCAACAGTAGCAGCACCACTGCTACCGCTACCGCCGCCGCCACTACCGCCACCGCGACACCGCAGGAGGAAATACGCAGGCGTAGATACCCGCCCCTCATAGTTGAGCTTCTACCGAACTGGGCTCAACATATGAGGGAGCTGAAAAACAGACTCGGTAGGGCCGCGAACGCCCGCCCCTTCGGCAAGGGCCTCCGGTTTACGCCAAAGGACGAACAGGAGTTTCGGCTGATCCAGCGCTACTTGACGGCGCTGGAGAAGACGGACGGAATCTCCTGGTTCACCTACACCCTGCCTGAGGAACGAAGCCTGAAGGTGGCCATAAGGGGCCTTCCCTTCAACACAACACCAGAGGAGGTGGAGGAGGAGCTGCGGGACTTGGGTTTCGACCCGGAGTACGTACGCAACATCCGGGGCCGTGGCGACCGCCCGGGGTGCATCCTCCTCGCTATACTGAAGAGGACCGCTGCAACACCGGGGATATACGACATACACGAGATGTTGGGTATCCCCGGAGTGAAGATCGAAGCCTGGCGGGGCAAGAAGGGCCCCGCACAGTGTCACCGCTGCCAACAATTTCGGCACAGCAGCCACAATTGCCACCGGAAGATGGCATGCGTGCGCTGCGGCGGTGACCATCCCGCATCAGGCTGCCCGCGTCCGCGGGAGGAGCCTGCCACATGCGCAAACTGCGGGGGAGAGCACCCCGCAAACAATACCAAATGCCCCGCCTTCCTAAGGGAGATAAGAAATAGGAAGGCGGGCACGGTCGCCATGACCGGCGAGCCGCGCCAAGGGCCGGCGCCGGTAAACCCGCAGCCCAAAGGAGAGAAGGGACAAGGGGCGTCGCTCATGGCGGCAGCAAACGACCCCACCCTTCGCAACACAGAAGCCACCACCTCCAAAAGAGGGCGAAGGAGGAGGAGGGGCAAAAGAGGGACAGCCCAAACTGAGGCCCCCACAGGAGAAGTTGACCGCGTAGCGGAGCGGCCACCTTCCTCCGGCAAGCCAGTCGCCACCTCGGTTGTCACCGCCGCGCCCACAGGGGCTAAGGCAAGGGTGGCAACACACACACAACTAACAGGGCAGACAGCGGCCGAACATCCAGCCAGCGCCGCAACCGACAGCCGGAGGGGCGCGGCTGCCCCGCTACACAAAAAGGTGGATAAGTTGGAAGCGGCAATAAAGGACGCCCTTCTCGTTCTGTACGAAATTATCACCGCCATCAGCGAAAGACAGAACGAGAACGCCATCAGGAGCATTGCTCTCAGAGGCATCGCAACGATCTCAAACAACATCAATGGATAATGCGCCTCTGAGAGTAATGCACTGGAACGCCCGCGGCCTAGCCCGCAAGGTCGCACTCCTTCGCCCCCTACTGCAGGAACAGAACATTGACGTGGCGCTGATAAGCGAGACGCTCCTGGGACCTGCAGACCAAATTAGATTCCCGGGATACCTCGTCTATCGGAGGGACGAGAAATCCGAAAATAACGTCGCCTACAGAGGTCTGGCGGTACTAATCAAGAGACGAGTCGTACACCAGCCTCTCCCACTGAGCGCTACAACCACCACCTACACGCTGGGTGTTGAAATTCACATGGACGGCGCGCATATGCGCCTTTACGCCGCCTATAGAGCACCAAACGCCCGGGCGGACTTCAGCGACATATTAACATTGTTGCAGGAGGACCGCCCGGTCATCATCGCAGGAGACCTTAATGCGAAGCACCCAGCGTGGAATTCGAACGTGACGAACACTGCTGGTGTGCGACTCCACAACGACACCGAGTCCCGAGGCTACGCGGTGATCGGTCCGGAGGTACCCACACATTACCCGGACCAATACACCCACACACCCGACGTGTTGGACATAATCGTCCACAACGGGGGATGCCGTCAGATCTCCCAACAAGTCCTTGACAACGAGCTGCTGTCTGATCATCAGCCAGTGCTTGTCGTCATAGCGTCGCAGCCAACGCGGATCGTCCCTCCCGCGCCACGTCACAGAATCAACTGGGACACCTTTTCAGGTACGTTGGAGACCACCACACCATCTCGGCCGGTCAACTCCGCGGCCGATGTGGAGAGGCTTACAGCCGAATTGACAGACTGCATAAGAGGCGCCCTCGAGTCGGCCAAAACACCTACACCACTCACCCAGGGGCGGTTACCACCCCTGCCGGCTCACCTTAAGAAACTGTTGGCCGACAAGCGGCGCCTCCGTAGACAGTGGCAGAGTCAACGCTGTCCCACCATGAAGACCAGACTAAACCGGCTCGCGGAGAGAGTGAAGGCCGAGATGAGCGCCTACACCGCCGAGAGCTGGGAGAGACACATCGAGGACATCCGAGAGGACTGGACCTCGATCCACCGCCTTTGCCGCCGCTTCACCAACACCCCAGCTCCGGTGCGACCACTGCTACACGCAGACGGGGCACCCAGGTACCAGGCAGGAGACCGCGCGGAGATTTTCGCGGAACACCTTGAGCGCCAGTTCAGACCGAACCCAGATACTGAACCTGTGCACACCGCAGCAGTCGAGACACACCTTCGAGAGTACTTCGCCACGCCGATAGCTCCCGAAGACGACCCCATTTTCTTCTCCCCGGCCATGGTAAAGAACACCATACGCCGGACCAAGCCGCGAAAGGCCCCGGGCGCAGACGGCATCACAAACCAAGCGCTGCGCCACCTGCCGCACAAAACGATAGCAGCACTGGCGCGCCTTTACAGCGGCATTCTGCGCACGGGCCACTTCCCTAGTTCGTAGAAGGAGGGACGCGTCATCATGCTCCCGAAGCCGGGGAAGAACGTGTTGAAGCCGGAAAGCTATCGGCCGATCACCCTCTTACCCACCACCTCGAAGGTGTTCGAACAGCTCCTGCTGCGGCACCTCACCCCTCATATCGCACCCAGACCGGAGCAATTTGGGTTTCGGTCTGAACACAGTACGACCCTACAGCTGTCGAGAGTACTGCACCGGATCACGGCGGCGCGAAACAAGCGCGAGCACGCCGTTGCGGTATTTCTCGACATGGAGAAGGCCTTCGACCGGGTCTGGCACGCCGGTCTCCTGATGAAGCTAGCTACGACGCCGACGCCCCGGCGTGTAGTAGAGGTGGTCTCCTCGTTCCTGACCAACCGGACTTTCCGAGTGGTGGTGGAGGGGGAGACATCAACCGTCCGCAACATAGCGGCCGGCGTCCCACAAGGAAGCTGTCTATCGCCTGTGTTGTACTCACGGTTCACAGACGATATCCCCCTCGCCGAGGGAGCCGAGCTAGCGCTGTATGCTGACGACGCGGCGTACATCTCAACAAGCATGAACCTGCGCCACGCTGCGTCGAAACTGCAGCGCTCCCTAGACCTCCTGCCCACCTGGCTGTCAAAATGGCGTTTGACAGTGAACGTGGGTAAAACACAGGCGATTCCTATAACAGTTATATACCCACCACCGCTCCAACTCCACGGGCAAGACATCCCGTGGACGACGACTGTCAAATACCTGGGGATTACCATCGACCGCCTATTGTCCATGAAGCCACACGTCCGCAACACCGTCGCGCGTGTTAGGGCAACACGCGCCCTGTTGCGTCCAGTGTTCGATTCCCGCCTACCGATCCGAGCCAAGCTGGGTGTGTACAAACTTTATGTACGCACCCAGCTCACTTACGCCAGTCCCTCTTGGTACGCCCTCACCAGCGAGACGGGCCGCCGACAGCTGCGCGCGCAACAATCCCTTGCGCTGCGCGCCGTCGTGCGGGCACCCCGCTATATGAGGAATGACGTCATCGAGAGGGACCTCAAGATGGAGAGCCTGGACGCACACATACGTCGACTCGCGGCCGCCATGTTCGAGCGTGCCGACACCTCGTCCTGGAGTCATATCCGGGACCTGGCGCCGTGGCACGCTCGACCCCCAGACAGAAGAAGATTACCGCGCGACCTTGTTGCGGACTAGAGAAACCCCCGGAAGGAAGGCGGTCCACCGACCCCCGGGTATCGACAGTCCCGACCCAGCCTCTATTGCCTCTTTAGTTCGCCTGTGCCCCGCCACAGGGGCAGACCTTGGTCTGCCCCTGCGGCGGGACGACGTCGAACTCCCAAATCAAACCACATATAATGCACCCGTCGTATTGTATGTTTACAGGACCTGTTGTTGCTGCGACCGCCCTCACCGGACTACGAGCACCTGCGCCTATTTAGCCCAAATAGGAACATCGTGCGCAGGCGGGGACGACCGCCACCACAACAGAAACAACACGACAGGGCGCTCCGCAGACCGCGAAGCGGTGCGGATCGACCCGAACTAACGAAAACTCAAATAAAAAAATCCCGGACGAGACACCAGAGGGGTCGCCGAGTAAGCCGCCGCCTCTGTCGCTGGTCGCCCGGAGCTGGGCCTCCCCAGGTACCGCCTGGGGTCTCACCTGGCTAGGGCTCGACCGCCGAGGCGGCGTGAAGATCGGCAACCCCCCCCAAATAAACATCCAGAACAAATAACATCCCACGACCTACCCCTGTTTAGGGGTAGCGATAGACACTGCTGGCGGGGGGCTAAAGCCCCGATCCAGCCACCACGCGTCCCCTGCGGGACGGTGTGAAGACCAGCGGAAGAACCGTTGGGGCGCGGCCCGCCAGGTATGGTCACCTCGCCTAGTCGGAGGTTCCTCCCTTTGTGTTGGAGGGACATGACACCCGTTCCTCCACAGTGCCTACCAGTTTGATGAGTCCAACAATATGGGATTAAATGATGCTTTGATGATGAATCCAGAAGGGGGTAGGTCTGATAGTGGTACTCTTCAATAGCTGCTAGTAAGCCTCTCAAGTTTTGACTCATAACAATTGTTTTGACTGTTCAACAGATTAGACTTGGTAATACTCGCTTTTATCTTTTTAATTTGACAGCACGGATGTGGCTGGTGACTGGCGTAGTGGTTAAAGCGGTCGCCACGCCGCTTCCTAGTACGCCGAGTGTTGTGGGTTCAAACCCCACATGGGACGGCACTTTGTGTGATCCACAAATTGCTGTTCTGAGTCTGGGTGTTCTTTGTGTCCGTTTCATGTATGTTTGTAAAGCCCCCCGCGACACAGGATATATTCTTGATGCGGGAGTTGTCTTTACAAAAAAAAAAATTGGCCACACCACATACAAATCTTGTCTCTCTTCATCAGTGAAAACACACCTTAAAATGACTTAAAGAAAGGTTCCTGTAAAACGATATTTTTAATAAAATCAATAAAATACACAAATAATTTTCATAATTTATTAAATAATAAACAAAATGCAATTTATTTATTTATTTACAATCACAACACACGCGTGTAAAACAATTTTTATTTATAACATTCGCTCATTTCTATTGCCGTCTAATAACTAATTATTGTATACTAACAAAATGGAGACGGATTTAACTAAATTACATTTAATATAAAGCTTAATATGATAAGAGATCGTGTGAGAGCTATGATTCAGCACAAATGGTTCGGCTCGATAGGAGAGATGCTACGGCCTCACAGAAAAGCAGTTTTAAGTAATTCTTTCTTTTGCGTTTCAGCGAGTGAGTGTACTAGAGCCCAAAACCCTCTTTTCCTATTTCTGGGGGGGGGGAGACTCAAAGGATGGCAACGCATTTATGACTTTTAAGTTGTAGGTGTCCATGGGCGGCGTGCTCACTTTCCATCAGGTGACCCGTATGCATGTTTGCCCCATCATCATCACCAACAGCCTTTAATAGTCTGCTGCTGGACATAGGCCTCTCCTTAGAAAGGAGGCTTTGGCCTACTATATCACGCGGGCCCGACGGGTTGGTATAGGGTTTGTTTTAAGTTACCTTCAGCTGCGTCAGGGAAGCGCTCCGCTACCACGGAGTGCCGGAGTACCTGAGGCGGCTGGTGGCAGACTATCTTGAGGAGCGAACCGTCATGTACGAGGACCGAGATGGCGTCTTGAGACGCAGGGCCATGTCGTGCGGTGTTCCGCAGGGGTCTGTCCTAGGACCTCTCCTGTGGAACATCGGGTACGACTGGGCCCTACGAGGGCGTCTCCCCCCCGGGCTGGGTGTAATCTGCTACGCGGATGACACCTTGCTCACGGCCCGGGGGGCTAACTTCCAGGAGGCGGCGCGCCTGGCCGCCACGGGAGTTTCCCTGGTGGTCGGGCGCATTGAGGCGTTGGGTTTGCGGGTGGCCCTGGATAAGACGGAGGCCCTATTATTTCATGGGCCCCGTCGTGGTCCGCCCGCCGGCGCCTCAATCGAGGTCGGCTCGGTCCTCGTACCGGTCCGGGCCCAGATGAGGTACCTGGGTCTGGTCCTAGACGGTAGGTGGCTCTTCGACGAGCACTTCCGACAGCTTGGTCCGAAGCTGGTGGACACTGCCTCCGCCCTAGGGCGACTTTTGCCCAATTTGGGCGGGGCCAGTGTTCCCGCGAGGCGGCTGTACGCGGGGGTTGTCCGGTCCATGGCGCTTTATGGTGCACCGGTGTGGGTGGCGGCTCTGACCGCCCCGAATAGGGCGCGCCTCTGGCGCCCCCAGAGGATATTGGCGGTCAGAGCCATACGCGGATACCGCACGGTGTCCACCGAGGCGGCTTGCGCCTTGGCCGGAACACCCCCGTGGGATTTGGAGGCGGAAGTGCTCGCCGAAGTTTATCGGCGAGTGGCTGACTTCCGGGCGGAGAGCGGATTTCGCCCTCCGCCCGAAGACGTGCGCGAGTGGCGCGAAGCCGCTCGCCGAGCCACTATGGTGAGATGGTCGTTCCGGCTGGAGACTCCACGCGCTGGCTTCGCCGCCGTGGAGGCTCTCCAGCCGGTCATCGCCGAGTGGGCAGGGCGGCAGCACGGGACCCTTTCCTTCCGGCTGACGCAGGTGCTTTCCGGGCACGGTTGCTTCGGAAAGTACCTGTACTCGGTCGCTAGGAGGGAATCGAGTCCCGCCTGCCACCACTGCGACTGCGGTGAGGATTCGGCCCAGCACACGCTGGCGGTTTTGCCCCGCATGGGCGACGCAGCGCCGGGCCCTCACTGCAGTCATCGGAGCAGATCTCTCGCTACCGGCCGTAATTCGCTCCATGGCCGGTAGCGACAGTTGTTTTACCGCGGTCGCAACCTTCTGCGAGGAGGTAATCTCGCAGAAGGAGGCGGCGGAGAAGGCCCGGGAGGATGACCTCCACTCGGACCTGATCCGCCGCCGGCGAACCGGGCGGCGGAGGCGCGCCTACCTGCGCCTCATGCCGCCCTGAGTGTGGCCGCGGGTGGACGGGATGGGTTCTCCCCTCCACCCGCATTAGTTGGCCAGCCGCGAGGGGGCGGCGTCCGCGTGTGCCGGACGTCGCCTAAAGAGAGGGTCCACTGAGACGGAGCCCGCACCAGGAGCGGGCCGGCGCTGGAAGGGGTCCAGAAGGAGATAGCTACCTGGACCCCTCCTACACTAAAAGCGCAAAGAGGGCACACCGTGTGGTTTTAGTCGGTTCGAGTCCGACACACCACCCCGCCGAACGAGAGCCCCGGCGGGGTGACGGTCCGAGGGGATTTCCACACGTAAAAAAAAAAAAAAAAAAAAAAAAAGGGTTTGTTTTAAGTTTTCCTTCTCTTTGCAGTGTGCCCACGCACGGTATCATTGGGATTACGATGGCAATGTATTGGGAAGGTTAAATGCGTAACCACCACCAGAATCTTAGACATTCTGTAACATAAAAAAATTATCCGGCTACCCTCGATATATGAATACTGTATTATATTTTCTTGTTGTTTTATTTAGCAAAGAGACTCGTACTAGATACCAGAGACAAAATGTCTATTGTCTTTGTCGTCCAGTATGTCAACAAAGAAGAAAAAAACCATCACAAATATTAAAGAAGAAAACATTAGACGTTTAGCTATAGATATGAATTTGAACCATGGTGTATTATTGCGCATCTTTTGTCATATTAGCTCAAATTTAAGAGAGATTAACAATCTGGTAGCACTTTCTATCATCACCATCATCATCATCATCATCATCAACAGCCTTTAACAATCCACTGCTGGACATAAGCCTCTCCTTAGAAAGGAGGTTTTGGCCTACTATACCACGCTGGCCAGATAGGGTGGTATAGGGTTTGTGTCAAGTTTACCTTCTCTTTGCAGTGCTGTTTTTCTGAGTAGTTTGTTTCCTTAGTCGGCTCTTACGACACCTACGGGATGATTAGGGGTGGTGACACTCTGTATTTTTAATCCGTCACCACACGGGCTTTCTATATTACGACCAAATTACTAATACATTGTAGAGTTAGTGAAGTGGTCATTGCCTATAAAATCTACCAAATTACTAAAATAACAAATTTTTTTTACACTTCAATTCTTTGTTTAGAAAGGATAAATATTTTACTCAAGTACCTATTTAAGGGATACCCATCTAGTTTCAAACCCAACGAGGGCTCTGTTCCAAGATAACAGCACCTGACACTAACGCCAGAAGGTTGTATCACGCCTTTTGATCCAGTAAAAGAGGCATGAGGTTTCTAAAGACCCCTTCCTAAATCTGGGGGACGCAGTAAAAGATCGATAATGCAGTTGTGTCTCTCGAGTTGCAGGTGTCCATGGGCGACGGTAGTCACTTACCATCAAGTAACTTACCTCCTCGTTTGCACCTCTACGCCATAAAAAGTTCATTACTAGTCGGGAACCCCCCAAATTCATGCGTGAGTAAAACCGTATATGCTTTATTAACAATGAATACCAAGTTTTGAAATACTTAGGCGCCAAGTAACTTAGGTCCACATATTCAATGTTACCAAACACTTAAAATTAAGTAAAAAATATTTTAAAACGACCTATAGTATACTTCATCTAGCGATTTTTTAACATTTTTTAAAATATAATTTTTTTATCTTACTCTAGACGGATGCTCGAATATGTTAGTGACTTGAGAATTTGCCCCATATTTCGCTTTTGGTATTTCTACTCCAAAAACCTCAAAGCATAATACTGTAATGAGAAAATAATTTGAAATCATAGCATATTAAGTCCTACAGTTAAGGATAGGGCAGCTGATCAAACCTGATCACAACGATGGATTAGCAATAAAGTTTTATATTAACTCAAATCCTCTGGGCTGACAAAAAGATTAGTTCCTCAAAGCCAAAAACAAGACTGAATGACTAGAATCCTGGGCATAATATAGATCCTTGCGGTACACCCAGTTTTTGTTACAGCTACAGAATACAGGATAAAGATTGATGATATGTGCAATTCCCAAGTCAACGACCATATTCGAGGGTCGCGTAATATTTGGCAGTATTAAAAGGGGCTTCTCTGAATGTGTGGAACCAATAATCGATCTTATTAAGAATATACATACAGTTATATTTGCAAACTTTGGAATTAAGTGAAGCGTTCGATTGACTTCCACACACTAAAGAATGTTTTGATTTTAAGTTTATAACTGCCAACTATTATATAGCTGCAAATGAGATTGGAATGATTTGAATTACAAATCGGTATGAGAATAAACATGTACTTTAATTTCAGTTAAATTTAAAAAAAGAAAACGAGTGTGCTTTAGACCACACGACTGAAGTAAACCTTATTTAGCTTCATATATATGTTTGTATATATATGTTAATATATGTATAATAGATACATGTATAAACCTATACATATAGACTTGCACTGTGTCTTAGATATACGAAACGTGACTGGCTATGAAAGAAAGAAAATGTGTGCTCACACCTCTCTCTTCTGCCCCTACAGTAATAAACGAAACTTATCTCTCTCTCTCTTTCTATCTACACTCCGTTCGCCTAGCTCGATCACACTTTTCGTAAGTGTGATTGATCGAGCTTACTCTCCAAGTCAAGCGTGCGTAAAGAAGTTTTACTTCAAAAATTGTAAACTCATTTTATGTTTTTAATCATCCTTGATGCCATGCACTACATCCGTTATGCGAAATCCATTATTTGGAAAAATTCAATTTTGCTGTCGCATATGACTTTTTTAAAACGCTTTTATTAGCTTCATTTACTAAACTTCATTAACTAAACAACGTAAAGAAATCTCGGAATTTAATTTTAACCTACTTCTAACAATTGTCGTATCGAAATGAAATTTTGTATGTATATTGTAATTGAGATGACAATACAATATTATATGCTGTGGAGTAGGATACTCTCTCAAAATTTTCGGTGGCTAAAATAAACCCTTCGATTATGAGCTCAGATCATTCGTTTTGATGAGTGCAATATAGGGGACGTGATTACAATGGTCTGATAATGAAGCCAGAACATGGATAGTGGAACATCTTTTTACTTTGGTTCGCTATAAAAGAATGGTTTTTAATTTGACTGAAACTTTAATTATATGTGACTACTAAAAAATTACTATCAGTATAGTCAAAAGTTCTAGTCTTCAATCGAATTTCTAGTCGCTGTTGTATTCGAGTAGTTCTGTGATCATTTCAACCTCATCTGCAGCTAATACTGCAAATTCTGTCAATTCACCAACTTCCATACATACTTATTAAATATTTACATAAACAAGAACACAGTTTGTTTGTATTTACTTTTTCCCTTATATATAATTATTTATATCTATAATACGTTCGTATCGTGTTATTTTGGTAAATTCGTTGCCGGTATAAAAGGTTTCTAGTGTCAAATGGCTATTCACAATATGAATTTTATGCAATTCTAACTTGTCGTACTTGTTCAATAAAGTCTAAAATTGTATTAATGGCGTTTCACTTGGTACTTTTTTTATATTATTATATTATATTATGCTTATGGGATCAGAGTTTTGCTTAGTCTTAGCTTCAAAGATATATTTTTAAATATGACGTAACAAGTCCAGCCTGCAAGACATGAGTTACTCAGTCAGCAGTCAATCAAATTCGAGTCTTCGAAGATTAACAGTTTTTTAAGTCTACATACCAAAGTTTTTTTTTTTTTCAATCATAGGTTTTACGAAAATCGGTGAACAGTTCTGCTTCTTTGACGATTCTATTCTAAAGTGAGTCATGATCAGGGTATTCTAGCTACCTACAGGATACAATTAAAACTACGCAACGATTTGCACATGTTTCTTCTCTCGGGGCTCTTTGAGGACGTACGAGGTCGTTCTTCTCAAAGACCCAACGGAATCTGTAAATGAAAAAGACGAAATTTTACAAGTAAGTTTTAGGTTCAATAACAAATAAATAATATTGTACCACATTCACACAACGCCATCTAGTCCCAAACCGAGCAGAGCTTATAGGTACTATGGGTACTAGACAACTGATATAAAACATAAATACTTTTTTTTTGTAAATACATACTTATTATACATAGAAACACCCAGACCAAATCAAACATTAAATGTTTGGAATAGCAGTCGGTTACACAAACCACTACGCCATTGGGTCGTCAGATGGGTCAGTTTGATTCTAAACGGGTTAGGTGAAGATGGATTCTTCAAAAGCAGCCGCTACATGAATGCTACTGTGTTCGAATGACCTGTGCGCAGCAGTTCAGACCTGTACACTTACTGTGGTGCGCAGGAGCCCGAGGGTGCCTGCCGAGCGTGGCGGTGAGGGTGCGCGCGGGCGAGGCGGGCGCAGCTCCTGTACACTTACTGTGGTGCGCAGGAGCCCGAGGGTGCCTGCCGAGCGTGGCGGTGAGGGTGCGCGCGGGCGAGGCGGGCGCAGCTCCTGTACACTTACTGTGGTGCGCAGGAGCCCGAGGGTGCCTGCCGAGCGTGGCGGTGAGGGTGCGCGCGGGCGAGGCGGGCGCAGCTCCTGTACACTTACTGTGGTGCGCAGGAGCCCGAGGGTGCCTGCCGAGCGTGGCGGTGAGGGTGCGCGCGGGCGAGGCGGGCGCAGCTCCTGTACACTTACTGTGGTGCGCAGGAGCCCGAGGGTGCCTGCCGAGCGTGGCGGTGAGGGTGCGCGCGGGCGAGGCGGGCGCAGCTCCTGTACACTTACTGTGGTGCGCAGGAGCCCGAGGGTGCCTGCCGAGCGTGGCGGTGAGGGTGCGCGCGGGCGAGGCGGGCGCAGCTCCTGTACACTTACTGTGGTGCGCAGGAGCCCGAGGGTGCCTGCCGAGCGTGGCGGTGAGGGTGCGCGCGGGCGAGGCGGGCGCAGCTCCTGTACACTTACTGTGGTGCGCAGGAGCCCGAGGGTGCCTGCCGAGCGTGGCGGTGAGGGTGCGCGCGGGCGAGGCGGGCGCAGCTCCTGTACACTTACTGTGGTGCGCAGGAGCCCGAGGGTGCCTGCCGAGCGTGGCGGTGAGGGTGCGCGCGGGCGAGGCGGGCGCAGCTCCTGTACACTTACTGTGGTGCGCAGGAGCCCGAGGGTGCCTGCCGAGCGTGGCGGTGAGGGTGCGCGCGGGCGAGGCGGGCGCAGCTCCTGTACACTTACTGTGGTGCGCAGGAGCCCGAGGGTGCCTGCCGAGCGTGGCGGTGAGGGTGCGCGCGGGCGAGGCGGGCGCAGCTCCTGTACACTTACTGTGGTGCGCAGGAGCCCGAGGGTGCCTGCCGAGCGTGGCGGTGAGGGTGCGCGCGGGCGAGGCGGGCGCAGCTCCTGTACACTTACTGTGGTGCGCAGGAGCCCGAGGGTGCCTGCCGAGCGTGGCGGTGAGGGTGCGCGCGGGCGAGGCGGGCGCAGCTCCTGTACACTTACTGTGGTGCGCAGGAGCCCGAGGGTGCCTGCCGAGCGTGGCGGTGAGGGTGCGCGCGGGCGAGGCGGGCGCAGCTCCTGTACACTTACTGTGGTGCGCAGGAGCCCGAGGGTGCCTGCCGAGCGTGGCGGTGAGGGTGCGCGCGGGCGAGGCGGGCGCAGCTCCTGTACACTTACTGTGGTGCGCAGGAGCCCGAGGGTGCCTGCCGAGCGTGGCGGTGAGGGTGCGCGCGGGCGAGGCGGGCGCAGCTCCTGTACACTTACTGTGGTGCGCAGGAGCCCGAGGGTGCCTGCCGAGCGTGGCGGTGAGGGTGCGCGCGGGCGAGGCGGGCGCAGCTCCTGTACACTTACTGTGGTGCGCAGGAGCCCGAGGGTGCCTGCCGAGCGTGGCGGTGAGGGTGCGCGCGGGCGAGGCGGGCGCAGCTCCTGTACACTTACTGTGGTGCGCAGGAGCCCGAGGGTGCCTGCCGAGCGTGGCGGTGAGGGTGCGCGCGGGCGAGGCGGGCGCAGCTCCTGTACACTTACTGTGGTGCGCAGGAGCCCGAGGGTGCCTGCCGAGCGTGGCGGTGAGGGTGCGCGCGGGCGAGGCGGGCGCAGCTCCTGTACACTTACTGTGGTGCGCAGGAGCCCGAGGGTGCCTGCCGAGCGTGGCGGTGAGGGTGCGCGCGGGCGAGGCGGGCGCAGCTCCTGTACACTTACTGTGGTGCGCAGGAGCCCGAGGGTGCCTGCCGAGCGTGGCGGTGAGGGTGCGCGCGGGCGAGGCGGGCGCAGCTCCTGTACACTTACTGTGGTGCGCAGGAGCCCGAGGGTGCCTGCCGAGCGTGGCGGTGAGGGTGCGCGCGGGCGAGGCGGGCGCAGCTCCTGTACACTTACTGTGGTGCGCAGGAGCCCGAGGGTGCCTGCCGAGCGTGGCGGTGAGGGTGCGCGCGGGCGAGGCGGGCGCAGCTCCTGTACACTTACTGTGGTGCGCAGGAGCCCGAGGGTGCCTGCCGAGCGTGGCGGTGAGGGTGCGCGCGGGCGAGGCGGGCGCAGCTCCTGTACACTTACTGTGGTGCGCAGGAGCCCGAGGGTGCCTGCCGAGCGTGGCGGTGAGGGTGCGCGCGGGCGAGGCGGGCGCAGCTCCTGTACACTTACTGTGGTGCGCAGGAGCCCGAGGGTGCCTGCCGAGCGTGGCGGTGAGGGTGCGCGCGGGCGAGGCGGGCGCAGCTCCTGTACACTTACTGTGGTGCGCAGGAGCCCGAGGGTGCCTGCCGAGCGTGGCGGTGAGGGTGCGCGCGGGCGAGGCGGGCGCAGCTCCTGTACACTTACTGTGGTGCGCAGGAGCCCGAGGGTGCCTGCCGAGCGTGGCGGTGAGGGTGCGCGCGGGCGAGGCGGGCGCAGCTCCTGTACACTTACTGTGGTGCGCAGGAGCCCGAGGGTGCCTGCCGAGCGTGGCGGTGAGGGTGCGCGCGGGCGAGGCGGGCGCAGCTCCTGTACACTTACTGTGGTGCGCAGGAGCCCGAGGGTGCCTGCCGAGCGTGGCGGTGAGGGTGCGCGCGGGCGAGGCGGGCGCAGACGCGGCGCCGCGCCCGCGGCCGCGCTACGACCACCGCAGCTCCTTCAACTCCACGCTGCTACTTCGAGAGTGCTGCCAAAATATTGCGAATATTATTTGAAATACTTTAAAAACATTAGTTTTCTGTTTTATACATATTTAACTGTAACTAAGTCTAAAAATGAAACCTCAGGAAAAAATTAAACGGGCCAATATTTGTACCCTGTGGAACTCCCACTCAGAATTTGAACGTAATAGATAAATAATGATCATAAAATACATCAATATCCTTGAGCTTCCACTTTAGGTACTGTTTCTTCAAAATAAACGAAATTTATTTACACATTTAAGATGTATTCACAATATAGGTACTTTCTTACAAAGAACACAATCAGAAGCCTTTGACTAAACTTTTTTTCTCAAATGTGAATTTTGTGAGATTTGAGATAAGAAAGAAACTAGCCATTTAGTATACTAGCTACACATTAAATTAAGAATAAATTGTAGTTTAAAAACTAGGTTCCAAAACTATAACAAAGACGCTCTTGTACAAGCCGAACTAAGAAGTAGAAAATTATTTTCTATAAGTTTAAAAAGAAAAATCATTAAAGTGGGGTGCTAGATGTCAAGAATTATAAGGTATTGACAGGTCTTGATAAAAGTAAATTTAAAATATATTGAAAAGCACATCACGCTTTTTATGAAATAAAAAACTTTATGATCTCAAAGACAATAATTTTTTTTTTTAGTTCGGCTAGTACAAAAACGTTTTTTTTTAGTTTTTTAAACATTTATTTACCTATTTAATCATGAATGAAAAAGTAAGAAGTAAGTAAGTCACATATGCGTCAGTAAACGCCTTAGTACGTGGCACGAGGTAGTAGAAAAAGCTGTTAATTCTAAAGATGTGTTATTCTAGGTCAGGATAATTGCACAAATTTATTAAATTATTGTATCATCGTCGGTCCTTGATAAGGTTTCAATTCAATCAAACGTTTTAGAGTCGGTAAAAATCACGTTCAAAGATTCCGTTACGTCCATACATATGTAATTACCAAGCTAATAAAAGCGTGTTAAAAAGGACCAATCTCTGATCTGACATTTATTGAATATTGATCCGATCTCACATTTATTCAACTTTACGGGGTAGCCATTTCCAATAATTATGTAAGATTTTTCACACAACTTTTTAATTCTAAATTTGTAATTCTGAAAATTGGCGTGCAAGTGCGAAAAAGGGTTTGTATTGAAATGCAATAAAAATAACAACTAATAATTTAACAATTTTCTAGAAATATTCATGCTTCATTTTATTTTAAGCACCTATCAAACAAACACTGAATAATTTAAAATCTAAAACACATATCATTTTTATTTTATTTTTACAATATTTAGACCATTTTAGTATCCAAATATGGTAAAACTGAATTTCGTATTTTTTTTCAAAACTGACTTTATTCTACCATCATGACGAAATATGTGTAATGAATTGTATTAAACCGTATTCTTTATATCTTAATTTCCTACCCTCAACATTTTTCTTTAATTTTGAATTTCAAACGAGAAGTACTTATTTTTATGGTGGGGTTTACAGTAACAGTCATAAAAAAGAATAACCGTCTTAAAGATATTTTCCTGCTTTTGATGTCGGTTAATAAATATAGTGCCGACTGATTTATTTTCCTTGTTCGAGTAAGTAAAGTTAGTTTAGTTTCTTTAATGTCACTAGATGGCGCTGTATAAAAAGGACTTAAATTGAAACTCGCTGTTAAAGAGTCTCCGCAGGTGAATGACTTAGGGAGTTGTTTTTGGTAATGTAGATCTTAAGTTTAGAGGTAACTTGATCCAAATATAGTTCAGGATTATCCTATCAGGTTTTTTATTGAGTACCCTGAAGGAATAATTCCCTCCTCAACCATACATTAAACATTCCCTAAAACTTACAGCAAGGATACTCTATTCTTCTTGCTGCACGTATACTGGATGCTTATTAAGTCTCTTTTATTGATCTTGGCTTACAAGAAGACACAGGAATAAAATAGGAATATGTAGGTTAGCTCGTTGAAAAGGTTAAGTCAATAGGAAAAGTTACCTCAAATCTTGAAGATGGTGGTACATGCGTAGCTGGCGAACATCTAGGACAACCTGCTCTTAGCACCGTCCTACTAGTCGAGCCACCTTGCATGGCTGTTCTTAATTCCTAAAAGAAGAGAACAGAAAAGAATGCAGAAGAAAAGAAATTTCAGGACAGAAAGAAGTTTTTTTTGGAACGAAGTTCCTTATCGCGCGTTGTGAAAGGGGGCTAGACGGAAAAAATTCTTACGAATATTGGTCACGACACTTTTTGCTATAGTAAGCTATTGTAAGCTGTGCGGCGTCGCATGTTTCTCTGTCTGTCTCTCTCTCTCTTATAGAAAGATTAAATATTTTTTTATATTTATTAATATTTTTTTTTTATTTTTTTTTTATTGATTATTTCTTACTTCATTTCTATCTTTTTATGTCAGTCATTCAGCGCCATCTATCGAATAGATAGGAAATCATTTCTCAAGGAGATTTTACCAATGTATAAATTGTTCTAATTAGAAACCAACTGAAAAATGTGTAGGTAATAGCCGCTTTCATAGATGGCGTTGTAATTAAAATATGACGAATCAGTTTTACTCGATCGTTACAACTTCGTTCCTATCGGGTGTCCCACGAAACCACACGGCTTTTTTTTTATTTAGTATTTTCTTTTTAATAAGGGGTTTTTATCCACATGGAAATACCAACCCCATCGTACCTTATCATACCCAACACAACATACCTTAATATTTACTAAATGCAATAAAATAAAAGGGAATTATTGATGATTGTTGTGACAGATTTCCACCAAAGCACACAACCGCATTGCAATTTCCGTCTTTGGATTAGCCAAAATACTTTGATCAAGACCAACATCCAATATATTTAATTTAAATTGTCTAATCCATAATTCCTTTTCATCCCTGTTCCTGGCACAATCCATCAGCAAATGCAGAAATAACATTATGATAAGGATATTAAAGTATTTTTGTGTATGCTAATTTTCTACATGAAGAAATTTATAATTTTATACACACATTACATAATAATTTTATTACAGCTAAACACATATCAGACACGGTCGTCTGATCCAAAACTGATTCAAAATTATGGTAATAACCAATAAACATACTTATATATTAGATTTACGATATCTTATATCTTAAGTCCCTCGTCCTGTCCCATTTCCATATCCCAATTGTACCTTTTCCTTTGTCACGTCTGTAAACGATTATATCCCTAGGGAAGGTTAGCATCAGACTTAAGGTACAAAGCTTTAAAATTGTATAAATACCTGTCCCATCTCACTGCAGAGAGACTGTCGACCCTGGGATGCGTTCTTCTTCGTATTCCAGCAGAATTCTAATATTGCTACTACTATGGCTAATGCTAAACCGCAAAGCAGAGTGACGAAGACACCACCTATAATCAAGAAGATAATTTTAATTATTAAACAAGTCGTTAGTGGAATACAAACATAATAACAATTTCATAAATGTAAAAGTGTAGATGGATGACGTCAAAAGGGCTTAACGGAATTAGATGAAATTTCAAACAGAGATAGATTTAACTTTTTTTAAGACAACTCCTGCACTAGGAATATATCCTGTGTAACAAAGAACACCCAGACTCAGAATAACAATCTGTGGATCACACAAAGTGTTATCCCATGTAGGGATCGAACCCACAACACTCAGTGCAGTAAGCAGTGGTGAGGTGATGGCCTAAACCACTACGTCATCCGTGCAGTTGTCTTCTTCATTATAGTATAGAATAGGACATAGGGATTTTATTCCCAAAAATTCGAATGCGAAGCCACGGGGATCATTGAACATGTTCATATAATGTGTACTATGTTTCTATAAATACCTGTCTACCTGTTCAGGCATATAGGCGGGAGTGTATAATCATATCTATATATGTCTAGACTAAGTAAGCAACCGTGTGGTGACGGATTAAGAATACGGATTGTCACCACCCCCAATCATCCCGTGGGTGTCGTAAGAGCCGACTAAGGGAGCAAACTACGAAGGACAACAATACTGCAAAGAAAAGAAAAACTTGACACAAACCCTATACCAACCTGTCTGGCCAGCGTGGTATAGTAGGCCAAAACCTCCTTTCCTAGGAGAGGCCTATGTCCAGCAGTGAACTGTTAAAGGCTGTTGATGATGATGATGAAGTAAGCAACTCACCAATATTCTGAACTCCCAAAGGATTCGCCTTGCCATCCTTCCCCTCTCTGTTACAAACATCTCCCGTGTTCTTCCACCACTTGTCGTACAGTATCTGGATCACCCCCTTCTCTTGCAACTCCAATATCGCAAGCGATATCTTGTCCCTCCAGGGGCTGCCTTTCCATGTGGCTATTCCGTAACCCTGAAAAATCATAATGTCATCAGTTTTTATATGTTCTTCCTTACAGGTCCATCCGTATCGGCGTCAGGCACCTCACTGATCCAGAACGCTGCTTGAACCTATGATAGAGGACCTCGAATCGAGCCCAAAACATATCGAATATCCCCAAATACACACGATTTTTAAACTCACAGCATCCCAGATGTAACAACTACGTTTTAACTGATCTTACCTTAGAGTCCAGCAGTCCTCCAATCTGCGTAAGATTACAGTCCCTCTGGACTCTGTGATCCAGCATGGTGGACTCCATGAGAAAGGCGTAGTTCCCTCCCAGTACCCTCCTAACGCCCTCTTCGTAGGAGGACACGAGTGCTGGGGGAGATGCTGCCGACATGTGCTGCCACATTTTTTGGTACATTTCTATGTTTGATTCCTTGAAGATGAAAAAAAAACTTTTTACAGTAATTTGAAGGTGTTAAGAATTTTTGTTCTTAAGGAGATGAAAAGTCAGACGGATTACCTGTTAGCGTCCTGTGAGTACCCCGGCCCCCTGAGGGGCGCAAAGTAGAGAAGTGGATTTAGTATTTCTAATTCGTTCAATTTACTTCTGATCAATTTCGTTACAGGTTCCAAGACAGTTTAACATCGGTTTTATGCAAGGCCGTGAGTAACGTAACCGGAGCCCAAAGCTCAATTTCTTGGGGGGAAGGACTGATATGCCAATGTACTTGTGACTCTAGAGTTGCAGGTGTCCATGGGTGGTAGTCACTTACCATCAGGCGACCCGTCATTTACCCCCTTTTACCTTATACTTACCCTGAAAAAAGACATGGTCGATCCTCCATTGAGTGTCCCATACTGTATGCTGTTCTGTGCGGCTAGGTCAGCAGCACTTTGGATAGGTAGCACTGTTCGTTCCACCGTCAGAAACGCAGCCAGGTTTGCCGTGTACGATGAGAGGATTATCAGGGTAAAGAACCACCAGATGCCTCCAACAATGCGTGTTGATGTTGCCTGGAAGAAAAAAGAAGATGACAGTCTGAAGAACTAACAGCTGCAAGAGACCCTCTTTCTGTCCTCTCCTCTTCCATCAGATCTGAAGCGAACTAGTATGTGGTAAAAGCTTGAGGCAAAAATAAATCTCATCAGTAAATTAGAACAGCATCTGGTACCAAAGTTGAATTAAAAGCCATACAAAGTGAACAGATTTTTAAGCAATATCCCTTTCCTACACCACTCATTTCCCCTCCTTTCATGATAGTTCCAACATTTTATTCCTGAAGCCTGGTTGACGATAAAAGGGTTGCCGCCCCCCCACTTGCCCTTAATTCCGTAACTGGTAATAAAATTATTTATTAAATATAGACGTGTGGTGACGGATTAAGAATACGGAGTGTCACCACCCCTATTTATCCCGTGGATGTCGTAAGATCCAAATAAGGGATCAAACTACACAGGATAACAACACTGCCAAGAGAAGGCAAACTTGACACAAACCCTATACCAACCCGTCTGGCCAGCGTGGTGTAGTAGACCAAAACTTCCTAAGGAGAAACCTATGTCCAGCAGTGGACTATTGGAGGCAGTTGATGATATATCTCCTCCTACCTTCCCCTTCGGGGATTTAAGCATGAGCAATATGAGCATATGTGTATGGAAATTATACTTTAGGGTAATCCGATATTTACCTTGGGGTTTAAACCAGAACCTTGCCTCAGGAAAGTGCCAGTGATGAACCAGAAGGAGTTGCAGATACTGAACTGATTTGTGAGGAGTTTCGTCTCATGGCCACAGATGTGGGTGCTCGAAGACCTGGTTATAACACAGATATAGAATATGAGAGAATGCATTTTGTTTCTTACCTGCTGTTTTATGCTATTCCACTTCAATTTGTTATCACATGGTTTAAATTAAGTCTATAATTTGCATCAGAAATTAGTTAATGCAAAAAGAAATATAAATTTTTAGGTTAAGTTTTTTTATCATCATCATTCTTGAACTTCTACTATGAACTTTCAGATCGACTTTGCATCATTAAATAATTATTCAGTCAGGAATGCAAGAACTTTCATGCGCGATACAGGAGTAATAGTTACAATGTAGTTTAAAATGTCGCCGCTAGATGGTGCTGTAGCAAAGTCAGCTTGTGTTGTGTGTAAGATTCTCTTCCCTCCCCCAGCCCCTTAAAATGGGTAATTCGCACTCTTACTTACCATTCGTATGGAGAAAATCGAGCCATGACGAAGAGAGTAAAAGACACTAGAATATAGGCAGCGAGGACATACAGCCATATTTCTACAGCGAGGGGGTTAAGGAAGCTGAAGAGTCTTGTAGGTTGTGACGTCGGTACCTAAGGGGAAAAGATTAATCAGTACGGTAGTTAGCAAGACAAATCAGTTTCCATCCATCAAATAGGATAACGGTTTGTGACGTAATAATATGTTATTGTCAGAATGTTGACGGTTAAAGAACTGGTGTTTTTGTTAAATAATTTATTATAAATATACTTTTACTCTGTAGAAGAAGAAAAGCAATTTTTTTAAAGCAATAGCCACCAGCAATTAATATGTGCCAATGTTACCATCTGAAAAAAATATAATACTTTTCTTTGGACACTAATTTTTATAAATGATTTAATAAATGACGGTTATCATCACGATTATCCTGACCCTTCCAAATTTTATTTCAGGTTGGCATAATTTCAGATTTTGGCTTGCTACCATTATAATTAGTCAGCTGCCTGACGCCAACCCTCCTAGGGAATGTAATTATTGGTCCTTCGAGCCAGATCAATGTATGTATGTAATCAAAGAAATTGGACTCTATAAAATGATTTAATAATTTTTGTAATAAAAATTTGTGCGACTTGATACTAGCCTTTGTTGTAAGGTATATAACGAGCCACGCTTGCTCGCGGTGCAGGCGGTGCGCTATATCCGATATCTCCATCTTGCTCTGGCTCTAATTCTGGTAATTTGGGTAGTGGTTGTTGGGTAATAGAATGAGATTGAAGAGGCCTCAGGAACAGGTACATCAACTGCTCTTAATATAGTTTTCAATTACTTACCTTAAATAATATGCCGATTCCAAGATTCATAAAGGGCTTAGTAAAGTCGATGACCGCTTCCCGCGCATAGTTGATGGTCATGGAAGCCACTGCGATATCCGCTTTCTGAAAGAGATTTTTTTTTAAATCGAGTTTCTTAATATCAGTTCTAAAAAGGGATAGCCCTGTGTATGGCAGGTATGTTGGTCTAGTGGGTCAATTCCCATCCAGGACAAATTTGATGAGCACTATCATGGGTGCAGTTTATCAATAATGTGTACTTACTTAGGAATATATAACTCTGTTTATCAACAGTCTGGTTACCATTATATAGGCTCTGCCTAGTTTGGAATTAGACGGCAGAGTGTGAGATATGTGAAATTATTATTAGTATCATCATTTAGGGTGGGAGAGCCATGTTTCGGCATCTATAGGCCAACTTGACCAAAGTGATACCACATTCCTTCAGAAAACCGGTGTTTAGCTATTCTTTAATGGTTTGTCATCGAGAGTTAGGTAAACGGAGGCCTAACCTACCCCCCTCCGGGTGGGTTCGACAATCGGTCCCCACCTGCGGAGGCCCCTCGTCGAACTACACTGGCTCGTTGCAGCACGAGACCCTTTCCTTCCAACTAACTCAGGTCCTTTTCAGGCACAGCTGCTTCGGGAAGTACCAGCACTCGGTCGCTAGGAGGGAATTGAGTCTCGTCTGTCACCACTTCCGTTTCAGCCAGGTCTCGGCTCAGTACACTTGGCGACGCATCATACACAAGTACAGCATCATTTTACATCCCCCCGCTATGCAGCTCCTACTCATAACAAAGTGCAATTTTCTCCCAAGAGAATGTACTTGACCAATCAGTCTGATTAGGTTGGACACTACACTTTCCAGCCTCCATCAATCCTTTCCTAAAAAAACATTATAATATATACTACTCACCCTATCCATCAGTTCTCTTACAATGCCATTCCACTGTCCAGTATCAGGGTCCCTCGCTCCATACATGTTATCAGGGACCAGTCGCAACCGGTAGTGGAAGCCTGCTCTGGCAGCTACCCTGGCAAGCAGATCTATGCAGAAGCCCTCGAATCGAGCATTTCCTTGTAAGTTCCAGCCTTCTTTTACCATCACGTACGGTTTTTCCTAGAGAACAAATGGATTTTTTACTTAATTTCAACCAGCTAATACGAAGTTTCACCTCCTCTATTCATCAAGTAGGTATCGTAAGAGCTTCAAAGAGAATAAAAACTTGCAAAAACCCTATACCAATCGTCTGGCCAGCGTGGTTCAGTAGACCAAAACCTCCTTTCTAAGGAAAGACCTATATTCACCAGTTAACTGTTAAATGCTATTGATAACTATTTAAGCAGCTCACTGGTATAAAAGAAACCATTAACACAAAAGGAAGTAGACGACAGTCTAAGGTTAAGAAAAGCAAATAATGAAAATGAATATAATTTAAAAAAAAAGAAAATTATGTCTCTGGGGCGGATGGATCGATGGATGGATGAATGGATGAAGAAAACTAAATGAACTACTGATTCAAGCCCCGTGTTTGCAGGTCACACTTTTAAGGCCTACAAGAGGTGAAGACTGCTGTAAGGCTCGTTAATTTTTATGCTGTGTTTACTAAAGAAGTTCAGAAAATGGTTCTTCTCTATTTCTCTACTTACCTCTACCGTCACTACAGTAAGTGTCACGTTTGGTGGAGGGTTTCTTTTATAAGCAGCAGGATCTGAGACGATGAGACCTTCGCTAGGTGACCAGGTGCCAGCTACCACCATACCCCCCTTCTCTCCGCCCGATAACCTCATTAGCTGAAGATGGAAATTGGTCCGGATTCCGTTCTTGAACTCCATAGGACCTGTTAAGCCATGAGCTTGTACCTGTAAATGTGTTATTAGTTGCTTTTACTAGAATTTTAAGAACATGGACATGACATGAACAGGATGGTAAACAGTTACCCATTAAAAATATTAGTAATCTCACACACGGCCGTCTGATCCCAAACCAGGCATATCCTGTACTATGGTAACCAGACTGCTTATAAACATTCTCTCTTTATTCTCTTAAAAAAGACAACTCCCGCATTAGGAATATATCCTGTGTCGCGGGGGACTTTACAAACATACATGAAACGGAAACAAAGAACACCCAGACTCAGAACAACAATTTGTGAATCACACAAAGTGGTGTCCCATGTGGGGATCGAACCCACAATACTCAGCGCAGTAGGAAGCGGCGTGACGACCGCTTAAACCACTACGCCATCCGTGCAGTCACTCATATGTTTTTAAACACAACAAACAAACATACTCATATGTTTTTAAAAACATACATATTATAGATAAATTACACCCAGACGCACAACAAAACACCATGCTTATTTCCCAATTATTTGTTCTGGGTGGAAATCGAACCCAGTCGGGGTACCAGGGATTTCCTTTCTAGGGTACACGCGAATGGGGTTTTTTGGTCGGTTCGAGTCGGATTGCCGCATAGGAAATAAAAAGGGTGGGAATCGAACCCACGACCTCTGGCTTAGCAGACAGGTCATGGTCCCTGGTTCCTCAAGGAAGCTTTTTAACCCTTTTCTTTTCTTTTTGGTGACGGAAATCCTTTCGGAATCTCTCTTTGGGTGCACAGGAGTCAATGGTGTCTCCACTAAACAACAACCCGACAGTAAGCCTCAGGCGCCCTTCTTTGGGGAAGACCTAGACCATGTGATTTCAGGTCCTCGCTAAATTGACGCCGTGCCTAACCAGGTCCAATCCCGGGGGAAGCTAAAAGCTTCCCCCCTATCGGCCTAATAAATATATGTTACGGTCCAATCGCTGTTTCTGCAATCATAAGCTTAGTGACTGTAACCTCCTCGCCAGAAGACTGCTTACCGTATTAATGTTCTCGTAGACAGCTCTCCCATGGTTCCAAGGTCCATCTCTATCGCAGGAGATGTTCCCTGCGTGAACATTCTCTGTTATCGCTAGCGCTTGGGACAGCACCTGGACTGCGTCATATAGAAGAGCTGGTTCCGTCTGGAAGAGTATGTTTGTTATAAGGTTGTGGCAAACATGCAAAGATATTTTGGTACTCTAGTTGCTGAGCAGGAAATTGCAATTAATGGTCAATTTTTCGTCAAAAAAAAACAATATCGGACTCCCGGCAACAGTTACTTCTAAGACCAGGTATGCAACCCTGACCTGCTATGCTGAGCATGTAAGCAATATAACCTTTATCTGGCCACCGCTGATTATTGAAGCTCCTATCGGATGGAACTTCTCCATAACCTGGAGAGATTCCTTGACCTTGTCCGAGTCTCTATCCACAAGCCTCCAGCCGCTCATATTGACGCGATTGTAGTAAAAATCCTCCAGGTCGAATAGTTCCATATCCTGCAAAAACCAGAGAATTAAATTACTTGAAAATTTAAAATTGATAAAGACATCGACTCGACTTATTTTGGATGCACCTGTATTGCACTTATGAATGCAAAAGTTCATGATGAATTTATTCAGTAGTTAGGTGTGACAGCGTAACTATCAATTAGGATCCCCCACTTCTTGCAAAAGACCATAGACGACCACGGCGACACCATCCATCATTCTATACTTCAATACTTATAAATGTGTTTGTTTTTTGCTTTTTGTTACGCTTTCACGGCTAAACTATTAAACCAATCTCTCAAATCAAAATTGACCAATGGAGGAAACCCACATTATCAGCGAGTAACAAAGCCTACTTTTCACCGCAACAATCGACATAGACGTGGGCGGAGCCAAAGCGGGTAATGTTATAAAAGTTATTTTATGTTCAATGTCCTTAGTTTTGGAGGGGGGGGAGGTCATGCAAATGTAATAAACATGAAGGTTGCGAGTATTCCTAGGCATTAGACTATCAGGTCAAATGTATGCTTGTTTCCACGATTAAACGTATAAAACAAGTATTTCGGGGTTCAATACCCAGTTTTTGCCAAATTTTCATTGTGTCTTTCTGCCCAAAATACTCTAGGCGGTAGTAAATTTCTAAAATAGACACTCATTTCAAAATTTCAAGTCTCGGTTCCTAATTCTGAATTCTGATGGAAAACAACTGAAAAAAAAACCCACCGAATTTAGAACCTTCTCCTTTTATGAAGTCAGTTAATAACGTACACAAAATAAATAGTTTAGAGACAAAATCAAAATCAGCATCATCTTTATAGTTAAACCGCCGTAAGCTTGGCCCTCCTGATGGTTTGGGGATTGCGGGGCGGGGGTGCATTCAACCAATTAGCTAGTGCGTCGCTGTCCGCCGGCAGTGACTGACGTGAAAGCTTGGCTGTACGTGTTATTTTTCTTAAGACTGCTACACACGGTATTATTTTGTAACATGGATAATCTGCCGACTCTGCGTCACAAAAAGATTTAAAAACTTGAAGTTCGGCTTACAGAGGTTCTACTGTTAAAGTTCTAATAAAGAATATTTATTATTTTACTTAATTTTTTAATTGTATCTGAATATAATTTACATGATGAAGATAAGGTGATTTTATTAAAATTATTTTAAAGTATTAAATTTTACAATTAATCAAAAAAACTTACAATACACTGACATTATAATTCATGGAAATAAATTCGATTTTTATTACATCGTGTGTAGATTAAATCTCAAACAAATAAATCTGAAGATATCGAGTTAGTACATCGTGTCATGTACAGCCGAGCGCATCACCCGCCCCGCGTCCCGCAAACCATCAGGAGGGCCAAGCTTACGGCGGTTTAACTATAATAGTCATTTTTCTTGACAACAGCAATTCTTCTTTGTATATTTCTTGATGTTCTTCTGTCTGTTGTTAGCCCGTGCCCGTCTGTACGCTGTCGTCAGTCCGTGGCTATGAGTGAGAACTGTACCGAATTTGAAAGAGTTATACTTTTAAATTCGTTATGGTTCCGCCTCACAGCCACGAAATTAGTTCCAACATGGTGTACTTGCCGCTGGTACTGCCAAATACCGTTAGATTATCTTCTTCTCTTGATTCTCTTCTATCTTAGTTTTCTATTGGCTATAATCATATTGCCCGAGATTGCAAACTGGGAAAACATTGTGAGGCTGGGCGGAGTGAAATTTTTTGAATATTTTTTTTATGACCATACAGATGCTTCGTGCAATTTTATGTCTCAAAGAAAAAATATCAATCATTAAAGCAAATTACAGTTCAACACTTTTAATGCGATAGATATCTAATTACCATATTTATTTTAAAGACAACTCCCGCACTAAGAATATATTCTGTGTCGCTGGGGACTTTACAAACATACATGAAACAGACACAAAGAACACCCAGACTCAGGATGAAAATTTGGAACAAGAGCCCCAATCTTGCCATAAAGGCAACGAAAGTGATAGATAATAGATAGTTCCCTCCATCTCTTTCTAGTAAAGCTCTGTGGTTAGCTGGGAAAATTTCTAATCTCCCGCCTGTTCTACGATCAAATCCAGTTTACGATAGCCAATCGCAGCTTAGCTAAACAGAGACAGATGGAATTATCGGGCATCCATCTCTCTCGTTGCCTGTATCGTTCACACTTACAGACAGCTGTACCTCGTGTTCTCTGTATGCTTATATCTGTATGCAGTCGAATTATTATTATATCATTGGTCTACTGCGGTCTACTGTGTTCTACGATCTATAAATATCACTACGTATCGCTCTGGGTACGCTGGATGTAGACTTAACCACATTAGTAAAAAAATAATGTGGGATAGTGGTGACTTAAACAAATTTTATGCTTATTTCTGAGATGAAAATGGTACATATGAAAAATCAATGGTATTAACCGTTATTGTAATTGTAGTTAAGAGTTTTTAAAAAATTGTGGTTAAGAGCCGGAGCCGGTCGAAAAAAATATTTTTTCAAAATTATTGTTTTTTTGCTATTATAAACCATCTACTTCGTCCTAGTTTGTTAAGTTAACTACGATTTTGGTAACGTAAATTATAAAAAAAAGGTATTAACAGCACAAAAACAGTAAAAAAACCAAAAATTAAGGATATAAGCAACAAAAATTTGTATTAAGCAAAATTTCGGCAATTTTATAAAAAATCTTAAATACCTTGAAAATAGTTAGGTTTGGCATATGGTATTTCATACCCCTTTTTTTTCTGTGCGGAAATCCCCTCGGATACCATCCACCGGTGGTTATGTCGGACTCGAACCGACCAAAAACCGCACGCCGTCTCGGGTCCCAGTTGCCGGGGAACCAGGTGTACCCTTTTTTTTTTTCCGTGCGGAAATCCCCTCGGATACCACCTGTCGGTGGCATGTCGGACTTGAACCGACTAAAACCGCACGCCGTCTCGGGTACTAATAGCCGGGGAACCAGGTGTACCCTTTTTTTTTTTCCGTGCGGAAATCCCCTCGGATACCACCTGTCGGTGGCATGTCGGACTTGAACCGACTAAAACCGCACGCCGTCTCGGGTACTAATAGCCGGGGAACCAGGTATACCCTAGAAAGGAAGTCCCTGGTACCCCGACATACCTCGGGTCATCTACAGACGAGTAGACGACCCCCCCCCCCCCCCGTGTGGGAACTCCATGTTCCCTGTGCTCCCTGGAAGCGAGCGCGCTTCGCAACGCGCTCACCGCCACCCCGGCCTGCTTCTGCTAGGGTGACAGATGGCCTCACCTGTCACCCCCAGGCCTGCGCTTATGGAGGACGGAGGTCGTTCTGCGACCTCCGGCGACTGAGTCGCCTGCGGTACCTGGCCGTTTCCCGGGCCTGGCGGGCCGGGAGAGTCCTAAACCTCTCCCGGTCCCGCTCCGCCGTCTCCTTCGCGAGCATAACTTGCTCGCAGAAGGAGACGGCAGAGTTCCACGCACTCTCGCTCCGCACGATAGCCGCAATCAGGCTATCGAGCGAGAGAAACCAGGTGTACCCTAGGAAGGAAAACCCTGATACCTCGATCAACCAGTAATCCTGTATAATTATTGTATATGTTGGTAATATTTATAATATAACAGTATACTTACAAAAGACGTAAAAACATAGTGATAACCCTCATTGTTCATTTGTAGTTGAAGAATCTGTAAATAGAGATTGGGTATTGAATCAGAAGTCCGTGTGGTGACGGATTAAGAATACAGAGTGTCACCACGCCTATTCATCCCTTGGGTGTCGTAAGAGGCGCCTAAGGAAGCAAACTACGCAGGACAACAGCACTGCAGAGAGATGGAAAACTTGAAACAAACCCTATACCAACCCGTTTGGCCAGCGTGCCAAAACCAAAACCTTCTTCCTAAGGAGAGGCCTATGTCTAGCAGTGGACTAGTAAAGGCTGTTGATGATGATGATTGAATCAGATTAGATGCTATTATCTATGGTCTTTTGGTCTACTGGTCTTTTTGTCTACAGCCTGTAGTACAGCCAGTAGACCAAAAAGACTAGTAGACCTGTAGACTACAGATCTACTAGTCTTTTTGGTCTACAAGTCTTTTAGTCTGCCTGTCTTTTAAACTACTGGTTCTTGGTCTTTTGGTCTATTGATCTTTTGGTCTACTAGTCATTTTGTATTTTGATCTTTTGGTATAGACTTTTCTGATGTTACATTCTACTGAAGTTTACTTCCCACTCTGGTCAATAATACACGTGTAGTGTGATCTAGTTTTCTTTTAATCTATTAGTCTTTTGCATATTTTTTACACAAAATAATATTGTTATTCTGTTACAAATTAAAAAAATAGTTTTTCTGACTCGATTATATACTACATATATACTAATATATATACTTTTCTAACCTATTGGTCTACTGGTGTCTACTTTCCACCGTGGATAATTGGTACCTTGGTACTTTGGTCTACTGGCCTTTTCTTCTACTATTCTTTATGTTCATTTTAATAAATGGTTTAATGGTCTACTGGTCTTTTGGTATAAAAAAAATATTCTTATTTACACAATCATCAATTTATTTTTTCTACCAATCTTTATTAAATAATCTATTTTTGGTCTACTGTGGTCTACGCTCTATAGACATCTACCTACCGCTCTGGCCAGTTGCCTGATCTTCCTAGGATCGGTGTCCACTATAATATGTTCAACCTGCTGCGCCTTCAGCTGGGCTAATGCTCTTCTATACTCCTTAGGATCATGGCATCGGACTGCATACATGTCTCTCCCGTCTTTTGCTACGTCCAGTAGGTTTATTTCACCTGAAATCGTAGAAGGATTGTCTTACCTAATTTTGTATACAAAGAGAGACAGAGAGAGAGAAAGGGAGACAGAGAAAGAGAAATCCTATTAAATAATTAGTGTATAATGTGATGAATAGTTATTGACCATAAAAATGAAAGATTTTTTTATTTTAATTTGTTTTAATTCTACTAGCAGATACCCGCAACTTCGTTCGCGGGGGAATTTAAGTGGTTCGATTCCCAAACCGGACAAGTTTTATAGGATTTTTCTGAGAAATAACAGCCTAAGTTACTCCTAGACAGCTACCTGGCAGTAAAATATTATGATTATTGGACTACCCCTGGAACAAACAGATAGACAAAATATATTGAAACAGGTTTTTGGGCATAGGTATCTTGCAAATAACCGTGTGAGCATGAAAAAAAACTTATTGTTGTTACATTACAAATTTAGTTATTTATATAGATTTCCTTTTACAGATTTTTATTTTGACCTATCAGAATATTAATTAATACATTTATTTTTTTATTTTTACCACATACACACAACGCCATCTAGTCCCAAACTAAGCAGAACTTGTACTATGGGTACTAGACAACTGATATAAATACTTTTTTTTTTGTAAATCCATACATATCATACATAGAAACACCCAGACCGAATCAAACATCAAATGTTCATGCACACAAATGTTTAACTTAAGCGGGAATCGAACCCGCAACATTTTAATAGCAGTCCGTTACACAAACCACTACGCCATCCAGTCGTCAAAATTATTTTATTTATCGCTGTTAGTCACAAAAAATTATCACAGTGTTATTCTTGAACTTACTATGCGTTGCTGCACAGAGAAAAAGGTTGAAACAATGATTCTCTCACTCTTTCTCTCCCCATTTCTTCTTTTGTTTTTCTTTACGTAGCAAGCTACACTTAATGCGTGACTATCATAAAGCACGCTACAAAAATTAAGATTGAATTCTTAATACTTTTGCATGATTAAAAAATTCTTAATGTACTTTGTGTAAGTCTTACCATAGCCATAATCTTCGTATATGATCCCCATTCTGGTCCAGTTGAGGTAGCTGAGGAACTCGGAGAAAGCCTTCGTAATGAGATCTTTTGGCGGATACAAGTTTACCGTAAATGTGTGGTTTGCTGGAATGGAGAAAAAAACATTAATTTATTGACCACCTTTTTTCTTGTTGTGGTATAAGCTGGCCATTTCTTTGGACTGGATCTGGATCAAGTAAGTGCTTTAGCACTTACCGGATCGATCCCATGTTTTAACATGGAAAGTTGATACTGCTTTGCTCTTGAGCAGACTGTAGTAGTTACAATTGGAAAAAAAATGACAACTTCATGGGTTGATGTTGGTAGTTTGAGGGTTATTTTAAAAAGACAGCTCCCGCACTAGGAATAAATCCTGTATCGCGAGGGACTTCACAAACATACATGAAACGGACACAAAAAACACCCACACTCAGAACAACAATTTATGGATCACACAAAGAGTCGTCCATGTGGGGATCGGACCCACAACACTCAGCGCAGTAGGAAGCGGCGAGGTGACCGCTTAAACCACTACGCCATCCGTGCAGTCGTTAGTATGGTTTTAGTCGTTTCGATTTTGGAACACCATCCCACCAAAAACCTGGTAGGATGATGGCCCAAGGGGATTTCCACGGGCACTTAAACATGGAGGTTTGTGGTTCTAAATATACATACTGTTATCATTGACGTAAGGTCCAACGGTGAGGTGAGGAATATGCAGACTCCTGGTCATAGCGTCGAGGGTGGCTGCTAACTGAGGACCAGCTCCACTGAACAGTCCCACAGCACCAGACTTTAATTGCGTACACGCTGCGATGATAGAAATTGAATTTTGTTAGGATGATTAGAATTACTTTTGCGTGATAACGTGATGTCCCGGGTCAGATTTGAGGGTTGGATCAATTTATAATTAATGTGTTATTAAAAATAAGGAGTGTCACCACCCCTATTCTTCCCGTGGGTGTCGTAAGAGCCGATTAAGGGAGAAAACTACGCAGAACAACAGCACTGCAGAGAGAAGACAAACTTGACACAAACCCTATACCGACCCGTCTGGCCAGCGTGGTATAGTAGGCCAAAACCTCCTTTCTGAGAAGAGGCCTATGTCCAGCAGTGGACTATTAAAAGCTGTTCATGTCTGCATTGACATTCTATTTTTTCAGTTTTTTCTTCCTACTTGACCTGAGTATTTGGTTAACAGCATTTCACTTTCGCTAGTCCTCCCATCCCCCTTAAAATCAAAGAAGAGGTTGGGGGGGGGGGCGACTTTACTCATTCGGTGAGGTAAGGTTTTCCGTGAGGCTCAGATATCACTCCGGTCGTACCGGAGCATGGCTCTCCCATGGCTAAAATATTAAAATAATTGTTACTGAAAAGAATTATCCCGCATTAATGATTGATCTGTCGGTCTAGTGGTTAGGGACCCTGACTGCTAAGTTAGAGTTCGTGGGTTCGATTTCCATCCAGGACAAATCATTGTATGATGAGGATGGTCATTTCTTTTGTGTTCAGGTGTAATTTATCTATTATAGGTATGTATTTAGAAATATATAAATAAGTTTATCAGCAGTCTGATTACCATATGACAGGTTCTGCATCAGGACTGCCATGAGTGAGATGTGTCGAGTTAATATCCATTTCCATATTAATATTATAAATGCGAATGTGTCTGTCTGTCTTTCTGTCTGTTACCTCTGCACGCTTTAACCGCTGAATCGATTTGGACTATATTTGGTATAGAAATAGTTTGAAGTCCTCCCGGGAAAGGACATAGGAGTTTTTAACCCAGAAAACATCTATTAAGGGGGTGATAAAGCAGGTTGAAGTTTGTATGGGGAATCAATAACCGCTGAACCGATTTAGATGAAATTTGGCATGTAGATAGTTTGATTGTTTAGGAAAGACATAGTTTTCTTTTTACCTCGGGCCGAGGCCAGAAGCTAGTTATTAATACATATTATACTTATTTAGGTACATATTTACGTAAATAAATTACCAGCTATGGGTATAAGAAACATTAAACCTGTCTGAGTGCTAAATTTAGCTACTTTCAACTTAACTTCACAATGGTCGGAGGAGTGCGTGCAGAGCTTTTAAACCACTATTGTGTGGCTAATGGCTTTATAACATAGCTCCAGGCCTACACACGCATTGTTGTACGCTTTGCACTTAACTGAGTCTTAAGGGGAGAAGGAATTTAAAGGAACTATGATGCTTTTTTTATGTTAGAGTGGGCAGACGAGCAGACCGGTCACCTGATGGAAAGTGACTATCGCCGCCCATGAACGTCTGCAACTCAGGAGTGACAAACGCGTTGCCGGCCTTTTAGGAAGGAGTACACTCATTTCTTGAAGGTTTGAAGGTCGTATCGGTCCGGAAATACCGCAGACGATAACTCGTTCAACAGATTGGTTGTGCGGGGCAAAAAGTGTCTCGAAAATCGTACATTTTTAACTATTGCGTTCCATAATATATAATTATTTGTTATTGGCATTGTCCGTGTGGTGACGGATTAAGTATACGGAGTGTCACCACCCTTATTCATCCCGTGGATGGCGGAAATATGTTAAAAAATTACCTAACACGTCTCATACCACACGTCTCATGGCCGTCTGATCAAAACTAAACAGAGCCTGAACCTGTAACCTGGCTGCTGATTAACATACTTATGTATTTATAAAAAAATACGTAAGTATTATAGATAAATGATCGTACTCAACAAAGAATTTTTTGTCCTGGGTGGGAATCGAATTCACCAATTCATATTTCTTTCAAGTATTATTGACAGTAAACCCAGGCCGTGAAGGACGGAATACTACACATACTATACTACAGCGCCATCTAACGAAGACACACCGTACTACGGAGTAACTCCTGAATGAGAATTGCTAATCCTGTATCGCGCTATGAAGAATTCTCTCGCCAATTAGCATATATACAACTGCCCAACATCAGCCGTTGGGCTGCCGCCTGCCAGGCATGATCACCTCACCTCGTTGGAGGATCTTCATGTATTGATATTGTATGATATATATTATGTAAAAATGTAAACAAATTGTTGACGGGCTTAATAGATAAAGACAGAAAATATGATATACATACCTACCTTAGTTGTATATTAATACGTAACTTACTGTAACGTAACGTAACGTTCTTTATAACCTTTTCAAGTAAATATGACGCACGGCAGCATCATAATTATTTTGATTACTTAATGCTTATAAGTAGAAATGCAGAAAGGTAAAATTCAAATCACCGAATAAGTTCGGTTACTGGAGCCCAAACCATTATTTCTCCGGGGGAGGGGGGAGGCTCAAAAGAAGGTGCAGGTGTCCATGGGTGACCCAACTACTCGTTGGTCCCGATGGCCAAAAAAAAGGCATGGCTAAAAGTTCCTCCATACACAAATACCCTCAATACTTGACTACTCACCTCTTTTGTAAGACTTGAAGGTATCCCTGGCAGGTGTACACTGGATATCGTAGACCAGGGTGCTGTTCGGAAGCAAGGTGCGTTCTTTATTGATGCGGTACACTGCGTACTTGAAAGCTAGCTCAGTACTCCCTCCCCTCGCATCCTCCGTGAATACTGCCCCTGGGAACAAATATATAATTTTAGGGAATGTACAGGACGGGGTAGATGAATCTTAATTCAAATCAGTACCTTTTAAAGCGACGATTTTGATAGAGATAGATAGATAGAGATGATTTTGGTAGGAAATGCTATGGTGTGACGTCATGACCGGCTATTGTCAAATCCTTTATATTTAATGTGACAAAAATATTAAATTGATAATGGAAAACAATTAATGCTGTACTTTAAGATGTTATATTTAATTACTGAGACAAAATAATAATATAAATATTTTCGGACATCTGATACACAACGCCATCTAGTTTCAAACTAGGCAGAACTTGGACTATTAAAGCTAGATTTACTGATAGAATACTTATTTATTATTTTATATATTATTGTAAATAGCAATAGAAAACACCCAAACTCCGAAACAAAAATTTGCAAATCATACAAACATTTGGTCCGACCCGGGAATCGAACCCGAGACCTCAGCACAGCAGTCGCATACGCTACCACTGCACCACCGAGGCAGTAAATATTTGTATTTTGAACCTGGGAATTTACCATATTGCAAAAAAAAACCTATTCACGCACAGCGCTAATGACCTCTTTATTTATTTATTTTGTTGACAGAGTGGAAAATCCCTCCGGATCTCCGGCTCCTTGGGGATATAGGAGCTAGGAGTATGTGGTGTTTCCACTAAAAACCACTCCGACAGCCAGCCTTAGGCGCCCTGCTCTGGTGAGAACCCGGGCCATGTGATTTCAGGTCCCCCAGATCGACGCCGCACCTAACTAGGCCCCATCTCAGGGAAAGCCAGTGGCTTCTCCCTGCCTATCAGCCTATCTAGATGAGCGCTACTGACCTACAGTTAAGTTCACTGATGTTGCCTGTCTTTATATCGCGTAATTCTTATCTCTTCTGACGCAGACGTTAGGGTTTTGGACCTAAAATAAAGAGTGGACTTGGGATGCCTTTTTTTTTCTTTTTTTTTTTCCGTGCGGAAATCCCCTCGGATACCACCTGTCGGTGGCATGTCGGACACGAACCGACTAAAACCGCAAGCCGTCTCGGGTACTAATAGCCCTGGAACCAGGTATACCCTAGAAAGGAAGTCCCTGGTGCCCCGACATACCTCGGGTCATCTACAGACGAGTAGACGACCCCGGACTTGGGATGCCTAAAGCAATGCTCTTATCAGACCTACGAGGTAACTAGTTGACGTAAAGTTTCTACTCAAACTAAACTAATTGTTTTAAACCGTTGGAGAGTCATTCGTCGTGCAAATGCGAACCGGAGTGCCAAAATGATGGCTCCACCGGAGTGTCACAAAAAACCAGTATTAAGTAATCTTCTCGTTGCTTTTGAGTAGAGTAAGTGAGGTTACCAAAGCCTGGAATGATTCTGAGGGGGGCTCAGAGGACGGGAGCGCATTCTGTGGCTCTTGAGTTGCATATCAGTCGAAGTATTAATAATTATTAATAAGATTATTCAATTCTGTAAAGAGTAGGATAGAGATAAGAAAGGTGTATAGCAGACTTACCAATCTTAACTACTGGTGAATGCGCCGCCACAGCGTTAAGCAAGAGCACGATCCATCGCCAGCCTTGCCACATTGTGCTTCATCATCAGCCGTTGACGATGTCCACAGCACCTAAGAACAATTAAAGCAGATACTATACTAATATTATATAGAGGTAAAGTTTGTGAGTTTGTATTTTCGGGGTAATCTCAGGTACTACTGATTCACTGTTAGAAAGGTATATTATACCTGAGTGCTATAGACTACTTTTTACCTCGAAATCCGATATACAGGCGGGCGGAGCCGCGGGCAAAAGCTAATGGTAAGATGCTATTTGGAGAATCGCGTGAGGGTTTTTGCGTCTATGCTACTTGATGAGTGGTCTTTGACGTCGTGTTCTTATTTACTTATAATGAGTAATAATAATCTCACACAAATCTATCAATCAAATCGTCTAATCTCAAATTTGCCCGAGTCTGTGCTATGCTAATCATAACGCTTATAAACATCCATTCCATCCTTATTTTATAAATGAGAAAATAAGTTTCTTTGTTCCTTTGTTACGCTTTCACGTCTAAATCACTAAACCGATTTTGATAAATACTTTCACCAATGGAAAGCTACATTATCAGCGAGTAACATAGGCTAGTTTTTACATTGATAACCGACATACACGCGGGCGGAGCCGCGAGCAAAAGCTAGTTCTTAAATATTTTTAAATACATACATATTTCAGATCAGTGATTCCCAGACTGTTTTAGGTAAAATACCCCTTTTTCAAAATGAGCTGATACCTCAGACCCAGCCAAATTACTTTATAAAACCCATCTCTAGTTTTTTCCTATTGATACAAAATACTTACTAATTTAAAAACTTTGCAGTTATTTAAATAACTAAACTTGACATAATTTTTAATCGAAATGTAACAAATAAAAAGACATCAAATTCAGTAAATATTAAGTGTAATTAATAATTATTAGATTAGTAGATAATTATTTTTTTTAAAACTACATTGAATTCGCAAAGTGAAGATAATTAATAAATTTGAAAAAAAGCGTTGGGTGCCTGTTGTCAATAGTAAAAAATCACCCGACGCTTTTTTTCAAATTTATTAAAATTTATTTTCTATTATTTAGTTTGGTTTTCTATAAAAAGCGTGTTTTTTAGTTTTTTAAAACTATTTTTTTTTTATATTTTTGTTTTTATAATTATTTTTTTTAAATTAGTGTACTGTCATCGGTCCTCGATATATCTACAAAGTTTGAACGAATTCTAACCGTTTAAAGTCAGTCAAAATCACGTCCAAAGGAGTCGGTTACAAACATACAAACAAACATACAAGTTAAGTTAATATAAAGCCTTTAAAAAGAAGTCAGTGTGATGGATGAACCTGGCGACTTTCTACCAATCTAGCTGAATCTGATTCAATATTGGTGAGCTGCAGCCTTAAATCTCCACGTTCGTTGATTTTCAAACGGTTTCTTTCTTTTGGCAAAATGTTTGGAACCACACTGAAGCCTTTTTCGACAAGGCATGATTATGGAAAAGTGACTAGAACCACTGAAATTTTAATTTATTTTTTATGAAACATTTAATACAAAGTCGTAGACAAATTTTATTACTTTTAATTATGGAGTTTTTACTTGCGTGTTTAACATAATTTATTTCACTAAGCTAGCGTTTTTAATTTCAGCTTTCAGCTAGCGTTATTAATACGAGTAGCTTTTGTACGCGTTATCGCGGTAAAAACTATAAGCCTATGTCCATCCTGAAGAATCAAACTATCTCCTTACTAAATTTCATCAAAAGCGTGAAGAGATAACAGATAGACAGAAACGCTTTCGCATTTATAAAATTAATGCAATATCAGTAGTCTTATAACTATAGTACAGGCCTTGAATAGTTTGAGTCAAGTTACTATTCGTTGTGTCAAGTAAGTCTTATAGTTCGAGCAGAAAAAGGCGCGGCAGCCTCTCGCCCCAGGGTGACTACAGTCACCTCGGGATGTGCCTCAGACATGGGGTACGGCAGGGAGGACTCCAGAAGCGCCGATGCGTTCCTGGAGCTCCTCCTGACTGCCGAGGTAGGCCGCCGCGGGGTTTAGTGGTTCTCCGGGAGTCCCACAAGCGTCCTGCGTTTCCCCAACGGAGGGTATGGTGTGAAAAGCATTATCCGCGTTAAAAAAACGGTAGGTCATATAGTTAAAGATCTTCCATCTATCGGAACAATGTACTTAGTATTTCTGCTATTGTTTTCTCACTTAATTAAGAACTTAGAACTTCATAAGTTTAATAAATGATGACAACAATACCTAACTACCTTTGTTTTCGTAAAGTTGTGTTCTCTTGTTAGGTAGTTTCATATTATTCTTTTGTTTATGGTATGAGGGATAAATAATAAGGCTGGATCAAGGGTCTGATGCAGAAGACGTTTCTCCTCGACTCGGCCCGTATAGTGAGTACATTCCTGTCTTTGGAGGCCTAACCACTTGTTTCTTGGTCCTTTTATCCGGTCGGTGGTCTAGTAAATCACCGACATCGGATACAGGGACCTATTTTGTTATATTTTTTGTAATATATTGAAAAATAATAATGATATTTTTCGGACATCTAATACACACCGTCATCTATTTTTAAAATAGGCAGAGCTAGTACTATGAAGCTAGATTGACTGATAGAATAGTTATACAATTTTTTTTCTAAATACATACATAGAAAACACCCAGACTCCGAAACAAATATTTACATAAAATATTTACAAACCTTTTACTTTTTTGATTCTAAGTGACCACCGTCGCGCCGCCCACCAGTGCCCAGCTTACGGCAATAGGCTATGTTTACGCCTACCTTACCATCGACTTCTATTCTTACCAAGCCTTTTAACATACCCCAATTTTTCCATATGTTTAGTTCGGCATTTGTGCCAAGCTCTAAATCACTGGAGATTAAAGCTGTAAGCCTCGGATCATTGCCAATGGGCTACTAGGATAGACAACAAATAAATTATATAGACTTGACCTTGACCTTTGACCTTTAACTTAAGAAAAAGACAACAATAGGATAGTAATAAAAAATACTTATTATTTGATGGCACGATAAGGTGACGCCCTCTTTTTAACCGAGCCGGAAGGTTATTAAATCGGTTAAATTCTTTTATGTATGTTCAGAACTCCGACATTTTATAAAATCTTGTTTCTGTTTTGGAGTGTATAATTCTCGTCGGTCCCACTCATATACCTATCGCCTAAGAAGAATACAGTTTTTTAAAAGTCATCAATATGTATTTAAGTGTAAATTATTTATGAAACTACTATTTCATAAATAATTTATTTCAATAACACATAATAATTAGAACTTGACATATTGTGGCGACTCCTACATACAAATAAACAGAAACATACTACAGCGCCATCTAAGGAAGATATACTGAACTACGGAGTAACTACTGAATAAGAATTGCTAATCCTGCATCGCGATTTGAAGAATTCTCTGGCCGATTAGCATATATACAGCTTCCCAACATCAACCGTTGGGCCGTGGCCGTGGTCAGAGGACCCTCCCTTTGTGTTGGAGGGACTAATACACGGCCATCTGATCCCCAAACTAGGCAGAGCCTGTACTATGGTAACCTGCCTGTTTATAAACATACTTATATTGGCCTAAGGCGCTCTACTCAGGGAGGACCCGGACCATGTTATTTCAGGTCCTCCCCGCATCGACACCATGCCTAATCAGGCCATATCCCAGGGAAAAACAATTTTCCCCTCAATCACGGCATGGTCACCAGACGTCCCCACTCTCTGGCGGCTCGCGGCCCCCTCAAAGGCTGGTATCATCACCGACGTCCTCTACGTTTGGAATCGCAATCTCGCTCCCTCTTCCGATCCCGTTCAGCAGTCTCTTTCTGGAGCAATACAGCTTCACAGAAAAAATAAGCAGATAAATTACACCCAGACATAGGAAAAATAATCGTGTCAGTCACACAATTATTTTTCCTAGGTGGCAATTGAAAATCGAACCTACGCCCTATGGCAGAGCAGTCAGGGTCACTAACCACTGGAGCAACAAGCCATTCAAAACATTACCTTTATATAGTTGTAGTAAAAACTTTGTAAAATGTGCTGCATGAACTAGAACTAAAGAAATGTGTTACGAGAAAAAATATTGTCCGAACTTTAACAAAGAAAGTGGCTGGGGACCTATTCCTAGAAACTAGAAATGAAACTTACCTATATCCACAGTGATATAGCTCGGCGTGGGCGAAGTAGGCCCTCGCCCACGGCCTCACGCTTAAAGGGGTCGTAAATATATCTAGATTTAAATGCAATACCCCTTAGCAAAAAGTAAAACATAATAGGTTAGGGAAAGTGCAAATTTACAGTTTTTCCATATATTTAGACAGACTGATGCACTGACTGTTCCATCAACGCACTGCTTAAAACGCTGGGTTTAGAAGCACGAAATTTTGTACAAATGTTCCCTAGGTGACGATGTGATGTGACGACGACCAACTTTCAAAAATTCTACCACCAAAGGTGCAAAATTTATTTTTGGTAGTTTATTTTGGTTTCTAAACTCACAGTAAATACTCTTTATTAAAAGTAAACGAAAAAGTTTGTTACAATTTTTTTTAAACTACTTTTAAAGTGTCCTCTACGATGTCTCTGCGAGTCACGGACGAGAGCTAGTTTTATATATAGATAATAATCACCCAGTTTTACGCTTTATAAAGACACGGTATCTTTTCGCTTAATTAAACTTGGCGCTAGTGGCTCGATTAAGTGAGTCGCTTATAAGAAAGTTTGTCTGTAAACTGGGGATTCTCAGATCTTATTTTAAATCTCGCTCACATCTTTTTTTCGCTATCATGAGTAGGTATGTCGTGTCAAAAAATGTTTGGTGGAATAGATCTTGGGAACGAGAGAAATGGGGCTCGCTGATGCAATTTCGCCCGTTTTGTAGATGGGCAAAATATCTGTAATGGATTACCGTCATTTTTCAGATAAAATGATAAAGCAGATTGTTGCCATTGTGTGTGTTGATCTACACGGCATTAGATTCTAAGACGATTTAAAAAAAATAAGAATAATTTGTG